GTGGCTAGAGGTTGGCTCGTGAGAGGAAAAGGTAGGGAAGCGCCCAGCCGAAAGGAAAGACGGATGCGCCACAATTTGTCGACGTACATCACAAGCCGTTCAGAATGAAATTGGTTTTTGATGACATCATGAGTCCAAAAGATAAGACGTCAATATTTGATCTCTTAAAAATGTGATTTTTGAAAGATAAAATGAAGATTCCAATTGGGCCAAGCCACATTACCATCAATGCAATCAGATCATGTATCGATCAACTGCATCTGCTATTCTCTTCTCTCGCACCAAAATGGTTAGCTGCAGCCAGTCATTTTTGTTTATTCAAGGTAGACATAAACTCTCTTATTTTGTTACAGAAAATCCGCTTCCGCACTTCCGCTTCAACTTTGATCAAAATAATTCTTAAGAAGTCACCATGATCGAGCTTCAGTTACAGCACTGATTTGCTGATACTTGTGACGTCAGTGATCCACATTTTTCAGCGTTTTGTTGAATTCGAGCCAGTAAGGTTTTACATAATGATTGTGTCTAGTGAAACTTTAATAAATTTAGTGACGTCACAGATAAAGCTTACTTTGTCCAATGACCTGGCGCCTTAGGAAATGTATTTCCACAAAATGCCTATTGATTCGCTTGTGGTGGCTTGTGGTGATGATGCACTTGGACCAGGATTTTAACTTGAGCTATTGTAATCGTTCATCCTTACGTGGTAAATAGCGCGAGGATCATGATGCACATATATCAGTCGGTGACACACCAGGGAAATAAGCTAAAATTAGAGCACTCTATTTATTGCTCCCGCTACTTCACCGTCTCCCATAGGGTCCTGTGTTGAGCTGGTGTCGAGGCTCTAAAAATGACGCCGATTTTTGCACCCTTCTCACGAAAACCGCTCGGACCGCTTGGAAACCAATTGTTCCGCTCTAAAAATTTCGTGATCGACGGGAAAATGAATGAGGAAAAGATTGGTCCTGAAATAATTCTGAACTCCCTGTAGAACATATCGAAATATGGCTGCAAACTAGGAGCATGTCAAAATCGACAAAACAATACAAATAAACTTACCGGGATTTTTTTATTTTCCATGCATCTGTGTATGAAATCAGTCGATTTTTCGGAAAGATCATCTTCTGTTTAATAAATAATTCCACAATTGCAATCGAGAAAAAAAACATTTCCGCTGTGACAGCAGTTTTGGCATTGTGCCAGTAGTGTGGCGTGCGCGGTGCCGCGTGGTCGTCGGGGCGGAGTTGTGAGTATTTTCGGTGTTTTAAATGGTTGATGGCCATTTGAACCAGCTTCATATTATTTCCTACAAATTTTTGCATCAAATTATTGCTTTGAAAGACCATTGAAACCCCTTATCTCTTCATGAAACACGATCATATTCATCGTCGACGAAAATGGCGCGGGACTCCATGTGCATTCCGATCGAAATAAATCGTAAATTAAATAATATTCGATGATAAGTATCATATTCTAGTGACACATTTTCATAAAATAAGGCATAAACTTTGCAAGGAAGTCAACATTGGATAATTGGATTCTTATTTTGCTCACATATCCTTGTAGTAGTCAAATGGCTCAATTGTTAGATAGATGTAAGTATATGTTTTGGCTTGATGTTTGCTGTGAAACCACCCAGCCACTTGCTGGTTGAGTGGTTTTCTGATAATTACCTGATAATCATTTCTTCTTTTCCTTAAAAGAAACTAAAATTCCTTTCAAAGTAATCCATTTTAAGGAAAGGCGGCTTGCTCATTGGCATTTCATGTTCTAGTTTTGTTATTGCTGGCAGTATTTTGATACAATAATGCAATATGAATTTTTTGCAATAATAAAACCTAAGACAAACTTAGTTAATGCGTCAATCAAACACCCAACAGAAAGATTGTGAGTCCTTGTGACGTGAAGTAGAATATTCTATGAATGTGTTATATAGAATATGCCAAATATTAAATTAATTATTATTTGATACTGATAGCTGAGCAGGTGAATTATGCCACAATATAATTTCATTTTCTGGTTTTAAAATAGCCGGCAGTATTTTACTTCAACAAATGTAATATACATAGAATACATGTTGTTATGTTACCTACATATGTTAAAAGTTTAATAACAGCCAACAGAAGGAGCTGTTTCAGCAGATAATGTTTGTACCTTATGCATTACCTTTCTTTTCTGCAGGACCATGCTTCCGCTGGGTGGTCGACATTTACCTCCTGAAGAAGTTGAGCAACATGAAGACCACCAGATGAGGTGTCTGCAGTTCATGTGGAACTCTGCAGACTACAAGTGTTATGCCAACCACAACCAAAGTGCTGTGATCATGGAGGCATGAACCTCATGACAACACTTCAGATTTGCAGTTGAACCAAAGTGTGATTCAAACCACCTGTGGCATCTCACTCAATGTGTGAACAGTGTGATTATTGTGCAGTGTTCAGCTGCAACTAAGACATTGATTAGTGACTTGTTTTGCAATTAGCCACCAAAAGCATTTTTTGGGCTGGCTGCTGTAATTTGGTTGTGCACTGCGCAATAGTGGTAGTGTTTTGTCACTTGTCAAGTTGTCAGTTGTGCATGTTGCATGTTTCTCTTTCCTCGGCCCTCATTATCAGTTAAGTGGTGAATTGGCATCACTCAGTCTCCCCAGATCTCCATTGACTGTCTGTCAACCACCTAACTTGAGATAGTATTTGCTAATAGTGTCAGAAAAGAAGTGATTGTAGACATTTTTAGGAATATGAGCTCCGTTTCATGCGTGTTCCAGTGGTCATTTTGTCACATGTCCCATAGTGTAATAAATGGAAACTGTTGTTCCCTTTTGAAGGTACTCGCGGATGCAGAAAGCGTTGGGCCTAATTATTAAACGCACCCTCCTATCAGCGACGCACGAAATCGACAAATATCATCCTTTTTAGAACAGGAGGAAACGAAAACTTGTGAACATAGCTGTACCTACAACAGTGCATAAGGAATTGAAATTCTGGGAGTTTTTGAAATTCGGAGAAACTCAAGTTGTCCGTTGTCGACAGGTATGCCCCCTTGCACGTCAAAGACCGCCTAAAAAACAAACGTCTACAAATGAAGGCAGTATTCGTATGTTCGTTGTAATTGCAGCAGCCTAGCAACATGTATTGCGGTCCGATGGCGAATTGCACTCGTGCTCAAAAACTATGCCGGTAACTGCCAATGCACTTAGGTCATAGGTGAGGAGAGGAAGGGTTATGTCATATGTCAACATCATAGAAATGGCTTCATCTGAGCTGTGCCTATTGTACATAATTCAACCAATCTATGCATTTCGTTTCTTGCAATCTACTCATGCTTTCATTCCAGCTTCAGAGTAATCATCCCATATTGTACGTCTTAAGATATTGATTTCTATGGCGGTTTGCAATTACTAGCCACGTCTCACCTCAGTTTGGTGGCCCCGCATCGGCCCACTCGGCTGCTCTAAAATTGACTTACGGAGGAGGATGGTGGCTTTTATTTTAGCTTCTCTTACGGCTTAACTTATACGGCCTTGAGCTTCTCCGCCGACTGCGGGGAGCGCCGTCGCCGAGGTAGGAGCAATAATTAGCTTATGTTTGGGACTAATTTCCACGCTTAATTAACATTTTAATGTTTTTTTAATTAATTCATGTTAATCCTTGACGCATTCTCTTTCTATTGATACCATCCACCGGTCTGAGAATTACTGCCTTGCTGCGTAAGGGCCGATAAAAGATCACGCTTTTAGGGGTATCTCTTCAACATGGGGCAGGAGCAATAAATAGAGTGCTCTAATTTTAGCTTATTTCCCTGGTATGTCACCAACTGATATTAAAATGTCATAATGTCAAATTTATAATATTCGGCTTTGAGTTGTGGGAGTGTGGTAGCATTGCTGGTTCTCTTAAATTTGTTATTTTTTGTTAACATACAGCTCTTATTTTAAATCAGTAGTATTTTCAAATCACATGTGAGTATACCAATAGGCAATAAGTTGGGGAAACTACGATGCAAAGATCTAAAAATTGATTGGTCAATAAATGGACTTTTGATGACCATATATGGGCATAAATGCAGCCACTGCTACTAAGGGTGAAAAACAGTAAAACAAACTGGTACTTGCGGTATCGCGTCCACTTATCGGAGAGAAAAGGCTTCCATTTTCCACTAGGAATTAGCGGGATTTGATTAAATTTGGCGAATTGACTCAAAAATTTCGATAGGAAAACAGCTTTTCTGCAGGTTCTGGGCGTCACAATCAGCTGGCCATTCAATAAATGGATTGGTGTTCTGAAAGAAAATTGTTAGAAGATTTAATTTAATTACTTACTTACCTACTTAAGATGCACGGAAAATTTTGAGAGGCCCAAGGCCTGTAGTGTCCGCTCCAGTCGAGTTCGTGTTTGACAGTGTTACTGTTCGTATGGTAGGGGCGGGGTGAAGTGGAGGTGTCTCCAGTGAGTGTCGAGCCGGTTCTTGAACGAGTTTAGAGAGTCGGCGTCTACGACGGATGATGGTAGGCTGTTCCAGTCGTTAATGACTCTGACTGCGAACGCGTTTCAACGGATGCGGGTGACGGCATGGGGCTTCGCAAGACGCCAGAAGTGTCCTCTTGTATCTCTGGTCGTTACTCGGTTGAAGAACTCCTCCGGATTCAGGTCCAGTCTCCCATGCAGCACATTGTAGACAGCGATCATGTCGCTGCGTCGACGTCGGTAGTGGAGGGAAGGCAGCTTCATAGACTTCAGTCTTTCCTGGTACGGTAGGTGACGTACTTCCTGGACCAGCTTGGTCGCTCGGCGCTGGACTCGTTCGATGAGGAGCTGATCCGCTCGATTGAATGGCCCCCAGACAATGTTACCGTACTCCAGGAGCGGTCGCACAAGCGTCTTGAACAGGATTGGCAGGGTCATCTTGTCCAGCAGGCTGAATGACCGTCTTATCACGGCCATCACTCGAGATGCCTTGTTGACCGCTGCCGCTGCTTGCCTCCTAAACTTCAGCTCCGCGTCAACAATCACTCCTAGGTCCTTTTCCTCTGTCGCCGTCTGCAGGACTTCACCGTTCAAAAGGTAGTCGTGCCGGTGGAGGTGACGACCGACGTGGAGGACCCTGCACTTCGTGTCGTTGAATTGCAGTTGCCAATCCTCACCCCACTGTGTCACAGCGTCCAGGTTCGCTTGGAGAGCCGGCGCGTCCTCATGGTCACAGACGACCTGGTACAATTTGCTGTCGTCGGCAAAGACCTTGACACCGCAGCTTAGGACATTTGGCAGGTCGTTAACATATAGGACAAACAATGTAGGTGCCAACACGGATCCTTGCGGGACTCCACTTGGGACTGAGGTCCATTCCGAGCAGGAACTGCCGATCGTAACCCGCTGCTTTCGCCCCGTCAGGAAGGCCTCTATCCATCGTAGCAGCTTCCCACGGATTCCATGTGCAGCCACCTTGTGGAGAAGCCTGCGGATTGATACAGTGTTGAAAGCCTTGGCCAGATCAAGATAAATGATGTCCATGGGGTCACCACGTTCTACAGCACGGCTCCAGTCCTCTGCTGAGAGTAGCAGTTGCGTGACGCAGGACCTGCCCGGCCGGAATCCATGCTGGGCTTCAGTAATCAGGCCCTCTGCCTTCAGGTGCTCCATCAGCCTGTCCCTGATGATGGCTTCCAGCACCTTGCAGGGCACTGGCGTCAGGCTGACTGGTCGGTAATTGCTGGGGTCGTCCTTGCTGCCCTTCTTGTAAATGGGGACCACGTTGGCCGACGTCCAGTCCTCTGGAAGGATCCCTGTATCGAGCGACTCCCGGTACATGGCTGCTAGTTGAGCTGATATTGAGTCTCTCGTCTCGTGGAGTACCCTTGGATGAATGCTGTCAGGTCCAGCGGCTGAGGAGGTCTTGATCTGGGCGAGCTTCTGTTTTACCAGGTCCTCTGAGATGTCAACGTCCTCTACTACTGGTCCCCTGTACGCGTCCCCGGCGTGCGGCATCGGCCGAAGGTCATCCTCGATGCAGACCGAGCTGAAGAATGCGTTCAGCACCGCGTTCTTCTCTTCGTCGTTTGCTGTAAGCTGACCCGACTCTGTGCGGAGGTTCTCAACGCCGGCCCTGCTCTTGGTTCTTGAGGCCGAGTACCGCCAGAACGCCTTTGGGTTTGCCTTCAGGTCAGCCGCCAGCTTCCTCTCCAGTTCCTTCCTTAGATTGCGGGCGAGCCGTCTCAGGTCGTTGCTACATCGCTTGTAACGTGCAAGGCAGATGTCATCCATGGATTGGGTGTACTGGATCCACAACTTCCGCTTCAGCTTTTTCAATTGCATAGCTTCCCTGTCCATATAGATATTGCGTCTCTTATTTTTATTATAATTACAATTAACAAAGATGTTTAATTTTAAAATAATAACTTAACCACAATTAGAAAAACCATAAACAAAATAATAAAAATAATGACATTTTTAAACCACGGTACTGCTTACATTTTTTTTTGGCGCGTCTGTTTCAATCCCCCATATTTGCCAATCACTGTTTGGCCTTGTGTTATATGTAACTCTGCGATTTAGAGCCGCCAGTTAATTGTGCACCGAGTGAGTGAAGGCCTTCTGTGGTTAAAAAACATTTTTATGCCTTATTTTTCATTGGAATGCTAGGATGCATTGAAAAGATGAAGTTGTCTGATTTTATTACCATATATGGTCATTGCCCTGCCCACTCCAGCTGTTGATTGGCTGATCCAATTTTTGTTTGGCTCCTTGTAGTTTCCCCAACTGCAATAGGTACTGATTTACTGAATACAGTTATCACCAGAGGATCCAGCTAGCTCTAAAATTGGTTTTGGATGATTTATTGGATTGATTTGGAGCTTGAATGGACAGATTGACAGCCAGAGCCCACCTAAGCTGGGTTTGTTGCATAGGCCCAGACCCCTACCATCCAGTCGTGCAATTCAGGGTAACTTGAAAATGAAGTTTTATCTATTCATCTTACATTTTACATCTTACATGCAAATAATAGCCATCTGTTGTGCATTACAGCCCAGAGGGGCTTTCAAAGGGATGAGTGATTATTGTGCATGTGGTGTTAAAAATTCTCACTGCAATTGTAAGTAGCTAAGGTATATTGGAAGACTTTCCACCTTTGCTTGATGAAATGCTCACCCTATTAGGTATAAGTTGGGTAGGTACCTAGTCAACTAAGCTCATTGTGATGTTTCTGCTAAGACTCGGACCTTCTTCTCACCAGAATGTCACCAGAACCTTCATTGGTTGACCTGCCGGATGAGCTCCTGCTGCAAGTAATGTCCCACCTCACAACATCAGATATCTTGCTACTAGCCAGGTAAGCAACTGTCCAGATTCACATATCAGTATTTATCATTTGAAGACTCATTAAAAAGCACATCTTTGTTTATGTCATGCTATCTAATCAACTTATGCTTCTAACTAACATATTCAATGATGAGACGTTTCTTTGTTCAATCAAGCATCTTACAAAGATTATTTCTCATCCTGATCCTCCATCTGATGATATTGCCCCGCTGACCCCTCCCCTTCCTGTCAGGTCGTGCCAGCGTCTGTGTAGCCCCACCCCCTCTCAGGGGTTAGGACATACCTACCGGCGGCTGCAGTGGCTGCCCCTTCCCCCCCCCTCAGGACGTGTCGGCGGCTGTGCGGCCCGCTGACCCCTTCCCCCCCCCCCCTCAGGACGTGCCGGCGCCTCTGTGGCCTGCTCTCGGACCGCTCTCTGTGGTACGAGGTGGACCTACGGCAGAGCCGACTGCGTGCGCGGCAGCTGGCCCGCCTGCTGCGTCACCTTCATAACGAGACGCGCCGGGTCTGTGTAGCCGGGCACGTGGAGCGCGGGAGGCCGGTGCGGCCCCCGCTGCTCACCGCGCGCATTCTCACCGGTGAGTGAGCACGGGGCGACTCACTCGGTTCAATAGTTCGTCTTTGTGTTCGTTTGGTGTAGAGAAGTGTTGATACCATGCAATGTTACAGGTGTAGCACCTGCGCAGTGGCGGTGGTGACAGTACGTTTGTGCTGCCCGGTAGAACTTTGAGTAGTAGCGACGAATGCAAAATCGAAACAAGCAAACAACAACAAGACTTTGTCAGCAAAACTTGTGTACTGTGTAGGTAACACGTCACGGGACGATCTTTACAGTTTATCCCATGACTCTTGACTTACGCGGTCATTTGTTTCTTCGCTGTCCACAGATATCAAAGCGCGATGCGAGTCTAGCTTGGTGGACCTGAGACTGGAGCGGTGCCTTCTGAACGCCACGGAGGTAAGAACCGAGCGGCTCTGACGACGGGCTGTTGGTCGTCCCGTTCAAACACGCTAGTTGAATACGGTTATATTGAAATCTTACGCATGGTTGTATGAGAGTTACATCGGCATTAGAACCGTGTAATAATGCTCCCGTCGAAGCGACCTTTGTTTCCCCTGCCGACCCTCGTGTCACCCTCTGACCTCCGTGCTCGTTCCGCCAGCTGCCGCTAGAGCTGCTGCCCAAGTCGCTGCTGTACCTGAGTCTGCGCGGCAGTGAGGTCACGCACCGGCCGGCTGGCCGGTCCTACTTCAGCCGCTTCTGGGAGTTTGCGCCGCGTCTGACCGAGCTCGACCTCTCCGAGTGCGGCTGGGTCGACAGCCACGCGCTGCTGCCACTCAGCAAGCTGGCCAGCCTCCAGCGGCTCTCGCTGCGCCACTGCCGCCGGCTGGGCGGCGAGATCGCCTACAGCAGCATCTCCTGCATGCTGGGGTTCCGCGAGCTGCGCGCGCTGGACGTGCGCCGCACCCAGGTGGCTGACTGTGACGTGAGCGGCTTCTGTCAGCTGCCGCGGCTTACCGAGCTGCTGCTCGAGCCGCGGCGGCACGGTCACTTGGACGGAGACACGGCCATCAGCTCCCTGGGCGCACACTGCGGCGCGCAGCTGCGCCGGCTCGCGCTGCGCCGTACGCGGCTCCGCGAGCAGTCGGTGGAGCGTCTGCCGCAGCTGCTCCCCAACCTGGAGCAGCTCGACCTGACCGGCTGCGGCGTGTCCAGCGAGCGGCTCGGCTGGCTGGCCGACCAGCTGCCCGGCTGTGCCGTCAGCTGCCATGAGTCCAAACCGGACCCGGAGTCCGGGCCGGGGGCGGTGGCGAGCCGCCGCCGCCGCCGCTCGCCCTCCCCCACAGCCGACGAGGACGGGCCACCGGCAGCGAAGCGGCGCCGCCTCCAGCGCTGCCAGTGTGCCGGCTGTGAGGACGGCGAAATGGAGGACGGTGAGGACTCTCCTCAGGAGGACGAGGAGCAGGAGGAGGATGCTCTGGACGAGGAGCTTGAGAACCAGCCCGGAGTGATCGTGGTGAACTTGTTTGACGGCCGGTGGAGGATTAACGGAGCTCAGGCGAACGCCGAAAACGCGGTGGGTGGTGGGCGGGAGGCGGGTAACGGGCAGGCGGGAGGGGTAGGGGAGGATGATGGAGGGGTAGTAGCAGGGGAGGGAAGGGCAGAGGAGGTGGGAGTGGTAGAGGAAGGCGAGGGAGGGGTAGATAATGAGGGAGTGGTAGAGGAGGATGAGAGAGGGGCAGAGGCTGAGGAGGGCGGCGCTGGGGCGGCGGGATTGGACGGGGCTGGACCGGTGGAGGTAGGTGGGGAGAGGGAGGAGGACCGGGCGACGGGAGGAGAGAGGGAGGAGGCAGAGCCGTCCCCACGGCCAGTCGGGGATGGTGTGCCAGACACCCCGGAGTAGAGACTGGGATTGATCTCGAACGGGAGAGATAGGGCAGGACCCGTCTGGGCGGGTGCCGGGAGTCGCTGTTGGAGCGCAGCTGGCGCCTCGATCGCACAGATATTACCATTGGTGGCAGCACCGTCGACTGAGACTCGCTAAATCGGTCGCAACGGCCTCTCCCAGTTCAGTGTTTGTGATGAAGTGTGGTTCAGATGTTTTCATCTTCAGTGATCTAAGATCGATGTAGTGATAATTGCTTCGTAAAATGGATGATGCGTTGCACCATGTATCTGCTACATATATTTATATGGAACAGCAACCGTATTTGCGAGAGGGCGTTAGGAGTAATTATGCCTGGTTACAAAGGTTTTTTGACGAGGGTCTAGCTCATATATTCTGCGATAATTTTGATGAAGTGCTCTTCGTATCGCTGAATAAGGTCATTTTATAAATTGCAAAGCGCTATTGACGTATTTTGCAAATTTTTGGACGAAGCTAATGGCTCATAACAACCCCTATGTAAACGCGGCTAGAACTGCTGGTTCATCGAACTAGATAATCGACTGACGGTGTTGTTTCGATTTTCATTAGCACCGCTTTAAAGTGCTTCGATGTCTTTGTTGGCCGATGCTTCTGGGGCCGGTTGGAAGGCCATGAACCTCTTATACGCTCACTGTCATCTGGCTACAGAAGGAGCCCTAAAGAGGTCTGGGCACCGAGTTTTGAGAGCGCCATTGGTGGCTGGATCACCTCACTAACAATCAACATCACAACCGAGGTTTCCTGGTGAAACGGGCGCTACACCATTCACCAAAAGTTACTGATGGAGGCACTGGGTCCACCAGTTACCACTTCAGTTATTCAGTATGCTCACGTCCTCGCCGTTTTAACGCTGACTCCCGCGCTCCGTTATCGTCTTCCACAAGCGTTGGACGGGTTCCGACTCAGAGACAAAATGTGTACTGAGATACATTATAAATTGTTCATGAATCTCCCGGCCTTTAACAGTAGCCAGACTCGGTAGACTGTGCCGCTCGGCATACGCGCACTGCGGGACAGCCTACGTACGCAGGCAAAATACGATGCGAGAAACGGACATGTGCTTGGAAGCTGCGTATAACTCGCAGCTCACGGATGAAGTGTATCCGTTTTACATGCTTCCAGCCTCTTTGTTCTTTCACAGAATGGAAGTCGATATGGAGATAAGGCCATGATTTTCTGGTTCGTCAACTTTTCTTTCACTTTGATCCACAATCGTCTGAGCTCAGCTCCGTCCTCCTCCACACTGCTCAAAGTCGGCAGTCGCTTAGAATTTAGAAACCGTGCTACACAAACACGATTGACATTTAGCCTAATAAATCATGACTATGGTGCATGTTTTCAACACGCCTATCTGCGAATTTGTGGACGCAATTGTCCAACACCTTTCGAACGACCTCTGACCGACTGCAGACGACCTACCATCGGACCGACTGCAGACATTTATCGACACGTTTACCGAAGCAGCCTGTTTAGCACAAACTCACTCACCGACAGCCGTTATAACACTAGGGGACTTTAACACGGGAAACATATACCTTGACAGGTCCTTTAATCAGCACAGTGGCATAACCTCATTTGACTACAAAATTAAGGAAACAGCTGACATGCTCAACTTTAACCAATTAATTGATGAGCCAACCAGAGTAACGTATGATGTCGCAAATTTAAGAGACCTAATCTTCACAAGCAACACGGACATAATTCAAAACAGCGGCACACTGTCATCATTTGCAAACCTTGATCATTTCCCCATTTTCACCGAACTAGACACAACAATAATCGACAATGTCGAGAAACCACCAATTGTTATTTGGGAATATAGGAAAATAAACATTGACCTCTTGACCACGACACTTGCCGATACTAACTGGAATGACATAATTGAACAAGACATTGACACAGCCACCTCACAATTCATTACCAAACTACAAGACGCGGCAACAGGATCAATACCAAAAATAGTCATCAGACAAAAGCGCAAAGACAAGCCATGGATAACAAGCAACTTAAAACGCAACATTAGAAAAAGGGACAGACTCTTCAAGCTTGCAAAACAAACACAAACTGACTTCAACTGGACGAGGTGGCGATATCAGCGCAATTTAGTCACTACAATGAGCAGACAACTTAACCCTATTCCTGGCGGGGGGGGGGCCTCAGGAGCCCCCCCCTGAGGTTTTTTGGTTATATCTCCCAAACGCGTTGAGCTAGGAAGCTCAAATTTTCTGACTTTTCCTAAAAGGCTTCTACGCAACATGTCTGAAAATTTTGAGTTGATCTGACCTCAGGTCAGGTCACCAGAGGCGGTTTAGTGACGCTACCTCAGAAAAGTTTGCAATCACGCCAGAGCTAGAGTTTTTGACCGATCAATTTCTTCTCTTCAGGGTTTAGTTAGGGTACCAGTATGTGCAATTTGTATATCTCGGAATTTTGATATCGGTGACCTAAGGTCAGGTCAATTTCGCGACCTCCCCATTATAAGTCAATGGGGGAAAAATCAACTCCCTGTTTTTACCACTAAAACGGGTCGGAATGGCCCCATATACCATACATGACTTCATATACGATCAACCTTCACTACCTTGAGGTCTGTTTTGCTGTTGGGCAGCTGTGAGGTCATGTGACGTCATCAAAGGTCACCAAAGGTTTTTGGCCAATAACTCCGTACAGGAACAAGATACAGACGCGTGGATGGTCTCATTGTGTTCAGCTCGTCAAGACGCATCGAATGATATACATGATGACCTCGAGGTCACGTGACCTGAGGTCAACCTTTGACCTTGACCTTTCGAGGTCAACATATATATCATTCGATGCGGATTGACGAGAGGATCACGATGATGCCCTTAGTTTGTTCCTATCTTGACTAATTCGAAAGTTATTCGAGAAAAACTCTCTCCATATCTAGTGCCGCCATTTTGACTTTTTCGACCCCTGTGACGTCATCTTTGACCTGACCTGAAAATGACCTTTGTAAAAATTGTAGATCTTGGCCGTGCGTATCCGATGCCGTTTACCGCTTGTCGCTATCTTGCTTCGTTCTCGAGATCTCAGGGGGGGCCGAATCGGCCCCCCCCCCCGCCAGTTTCTTGTCCCGGCGGAGCCCGCCAGGAATAGGGTTAAAAACGAATTTATTAAGAATCAAGTTGAAAAACTGATCGAGCAAAGACAAAACCCGTACAAGTATCATAAAACATTACGTACCGTCATAGGCAGATCTACTGACAAAGACATCCCACCACTGCTGACACAAACCGACAACGTGATTACTGACAACATGGAAAAAGCGACACTTTTCAACGACTACTTTGCTTCTCAATCAACTTTAGACGTATCTGACGCTCATCCACTTCCAGACACGAACAGGACAAATGCAAACATTCCACAACTACAGAACTTTACAACCAGTGAACAAGAAATACTTCAAATCCTAAATTCACTAGATGCAAATAAATCGACAGGCCCAGATGGTTTACCGACTCGATTTCTTAAACTTACGGCAATTCTTATTGCGAAACCCCTATCACAGTTGTTCAATAAATCACTTTCTCTCGGAGTGTATCCAACTGAGTTTAAAACAGCACATATTAAACCAATATTTAAGAACAAAGGGTCACCATCAGACATTTCAAACTACCGACCAATCAGCATCCTTTCAGTCGTATCAAAAATATTCGAAAAAGTAGTCTTTAAAAATATATATAAACATTTAACTGATCACAATCTATTAACAGATAAACAAAGCGGCTACAGAGGAGGTCACAGCACCGAATTACAGCTTCAATATCTGACACAAAATCTCTATAAATCTTTAGACGATGGCGGAGATTTTACAGCGATATACTTGGACATCAGTAAATACTTTGATAAAATTTGGCACAAAGGGTTAATTTACAAATGTGAAAACGAATTTGGACTTTCAGGAACACTTCTCAATTGGCTAAAATCATATCTATCCGACAGAATACAGATAGTTAAAATTCAAAATTCGTTCTCAGCTCCCCGTAAGATAAACGCTGGCTGCCCACAGGGATCAGTTCTCGGCCCTTTACTTGCACTTTTATACCTCAATGACCTCTCAACTCGTACAAAAAATGACATTTTATTTTTCGCCGATGATACATCACTTTACGCTTCCCATACATGCAAAACATTGAATTCCATTCAAAATTCTTTGCAACTCGACCTTGACGAAATTAAAAAATACGGACAAGAATGGGCCATCAAATTCAACGATTCCAAAACAGTACAACAAACATTTTCCCACAAACCAAACAATACATCACCAAAACTCACTTTCGGAGGACTTCCAATACCCATAACAAAAACACACAGGCACCTTGGATTGACCTTTTCTAAAGACCTAAGATTCCACGAACACATAAACGCCATCCTTACAAAAGCTAACAAATCCCTCAGTCCATTATATCCCATAGCACGATTCCTTCCCCGAAACACTCTCGACGCAATCTACAAGACGTATATTCGACCACATCTAGACTACTGCGACACTATTTACGACGGACACATTACTATTCACGACACCATGAGACTAGAGACATTCCAAAACAGGGTAGCAAGACTAATAACAGGAGCACTTTTCAGGACCTCTTCTGACAAATTACGTTATGAATTAGGATGGGACAAACTAAAAACCAGACGACAACTTCACCGACTACTACTTTACCACAAACTATCAACACCCGGACGTCAAAATTTACCCTCTTATGTCACCTCTCTTCTACCAAATTCACGACAACAAGCCACACAAAGGACGCTAAGGAACGCCGCCCACCATTCCCAGCCACATGTACGCACAACCAAACACCAACGCACATTTATAACACTCACAGGAAAACAATGGAATCAACTACCAAACTCAATTAAGCATCTTCCCTACAAAGACTTCAGAAATGAGATCAAAGAGCTCATGTGCATGAACAAACCTCCTCTTTACTACTCATACGGCACCACGACACTTAACACAATGCATACAAGAATACGACTTAATATGACGATACTAAACGAACATAAGTACAAAATACAAAAGACAGATAATCCTAAATGCTCATGTGGCAATTCCCAAGAAAACGTAACACACTTTATATTTTCATGTCCAAACTACGACCAACAAAGAGACATACTCTACAACAACCTGCGTCGCATCCTTAACTTTGACCTTAAACAAAAACCCAAATCATACCAACTTGAAGTCCTCCTGCACGGCCGTGGACTCGGTGGCGGGGGCGGTCGGCTGGTGGCTTGGCACTTCCAAAAATTTTTGCAAGAGTCAGGTAGATTTACCGGTGGATACTAAATTACCTATTCTGTTCGCTGAGCCGGGTGGGCCCGCGCCCGTCGCTGGGCACGCGTGGGGGCGGCTGGCTGCGCGAGACAATCCGAGACACGGCGGCGGCGGTAGTGGTAGTGATACTGGAGATAGTGAAGAGGTCGAGATTTGGCGCCTCGAGATAAGCCCATGGCTTTTGCGCCAACTCTCCGTGATACGTACTCGATGTACCTCATGTACTATGCCAATAAACTCCGTGTGTGTGTGTGTGTGTGTGTGCATCTCAATGGCACGCCGTTGCCTTTGTTTCGACACGCCGTTGCCTTTGTTTCGGCACTCTGGCAAACAGAGAGCGGCGCGCTCGAACACCGCTGCCCGGCGGCGTCTCGGGATGGTATTGGGACGCTGTCGGAGGAATACCGACGTGCAGCGTCGTTCGAAAACGAGCCGGCTGTTTTCGCCCAAACCGATGCCGGCAGCAGGCAAGCGGGACTCTGTGTGTGGTAAACAGCACTGTGGCGACTTTGTACGGCGCATTAGCCCGACAGCAGCCATATTCCGCGGGCCTGTGACGCCACTGATTGGCTAGATTGAATCCGGTGAGGTGTTTGCGAGCGCCGTCAATAGCAAATGACGCGACAATGGAACGACCGGGACCGGGAGTCAACACGTAGGTTCGCGCGTGCCGCTGCCAGGTGGACTGACATTTGATTAACGCAATTGGTGAGTGCATTACAATGGCCGATTTTCAATTGTTACACCACGAGTGCTGATAACTTCTGATAAGATAGGTACTGAGCTGAGCATAATGAGAGCAGAGCGTTCTGCCTTGACGTCTGATAGGTATTAACCAGCGCCGTGCTTGGGGGATGCGTTTTCATGCCTCCCCTCAGGTTTTTCGCGAATATCTCGCGAATAACGGCGGCGCGCAACGCCGCCGTTTTTGGTACACCAATTAATATCGCTTTTCCGCACATAATGTGACAATTTCAGAACCGGGTCTTTCAAGGTCCGGTCACCAGGTCACGTCAAGTGACATTACCCCCGAAAAAGTTCAAAGGCTGGCTATAGCTTCACCACCTGAAGAATCAATTTGAAACTTTCAGCGATTGATAAGAGTAACAGCATGTATAAAATCTATATCTCGGATTTTTTTATATCTGCTGTTACCTAAGGTCAGGTCGATTTTGCGACCTCTCCATTACATAGGTATAAGTCAATGGGAGAAAATTGAAATGCGCCTCTTTTGGACGAATGTTGTTTTAAACCCTCTCAAACATCGGTTCATAGGTAAATAGACACACTGAATCGTAAAAATACACCTGTGACCCCTTTGTGTGACCCTGAGGTCATCTCAGGTAAAACCCTCGCATGTGTAGGGGGGTCGGATGGACCCCCATGGTTTTTCGCGAATAACTCGCGTAAAAAGCGGCTGATCCCGACGAAGCTTTCAGTAGTCAGTACCCTCGAGTTGATCAATTTTACACCTACTCTGAAAATTTCATGACCCTGACCCAAGTGACCTTTGACCTGTGACCTATTTCTCGAACCCATGTTTGGCCGGAATCGCGATTCGGCATATGCCGGCTCACATTACCGCGCGTTTGCAAGCTTCTCGTGGTTTCGAACGTTCAAACATATGATTTGATGTTGCTCCCATGCATTTGGGTCGATGTCAAGATCACCTAAAGGTTAGGTCAGGTCACGAGGTCACCTTTGGTGACCTCGGCTCACTTTTTCGAGCTTTACATGTTTCTAGGCTAGTTTTTGGAGCTGAATTCGAATTTAGAAACTATTTGAACATTAAAGTAGTTTTGGTGCCTTCGTAACATGTTACGAAGCTGCCAGAAGCGGTTGACACGTACTACGAATACCCGTCACGAACCCTACTGGTTGACCTGACCTGACCTGACCCGACCTGGTCTAAATGCTTAAAGACATCATCTGTGATCAAAACTAACACGATATGCGTGATCAGCACCCCGAAAACCCCTTAGTAGCCTCACTTTACGACTTTCTAGGAGGTCCCGATTTTCCCGACTTTTGGGTCATTGTCCTGACCTGGAAGGTCAACCAATGACCTAGGACCTCAAAATTGGGTATCATCGGCTTCCTCTCGTCACGGGCAACACGCTCGTTTTTTTCGCGAAGCTCTAGCTCAATCAGGGGCCAAACGGCAAGGGGGGTCCAACCGACCCCCCCCCCCCCTCCCTACACATTAGAACTTAGAAGCTGGCAAACGCCGCACACATGCGAGGGTAAACTCACCAGCAGTTTTTTTTTACTATAACTTTTGGTAAAGACGTGCTAGAACGGTGAAAACATGTCAGATGTGTTCAGCTCGACGATACGGATCGACTAATATGCAACATGACCCTTTCCGGTCAGGTCATGACTTTGACCTGAGGTCAAATTTTCAAAATTGCTTTTCAAGGCCAACGTATAGTTCATTCGACGCGTTTCGACGAGAGGAACATGATGCTGCCAAAATCAATATCGTGGCTCTCTTGAGTCAAAAGTTATTACAGAAAAATAGTTTTCGTGAAAACTGCTATTTTTTTGAGTTTTTGCCCCCTGGAGGCGAATCCTTTGACCGGAGGTCAAATCTGAGAACAATACTCAGAAAGGTCTGTAGAAGGGCTATCGAATGCGCTTTTCCGCGGCGCTTTAGCTCTATTGGTTCCAGAGTTAGCCGTTGGCAGTTTCCAAAATTGTTGAAATTGACTAAATTTGACCTTTGATAACCTCTGGCGACATGACCTTTGATCTGACCTAAAAAATGTCCGAAGGGTTTCTGTCATTATTTTTGACGCTCTTTCGATCGCCGCTTACCGCGTGTCGCTACGTAGCCCAGGAGCCGAGTTAGACGGGGTGCGTGAAAACGCCCCCACCCCACTCCAGCACGACACGGGAAACTCAGGCCACTGCAGCACAGCGCGGGCTAATTTCCTTCAGCTCTCGACATGAGAACTGGTAAAGGGTTCTCTCCTCTCCCCTGTCGCAGCTCTCTTGTCTTCGGCACGAGTCTGACTTTGATTCGCGGGAAGCAGCCTCACATCGGCCACCGAAACACGCCTGTGATAACGCTTTACCTACCTACTATTTCATCTTTGGTGGTTGGGAGCGGCGTGGCGTGATTTGTCACTGACACTTCGTTAAGTATAAAGGGAAAAACATCACAGCCGACCCATGATAGACTGTGAAAGTGGAGTGTTGTGCTGTCATATTTGATTCTATTATGATATGAGCGATCTGCGATGGGTAGGTAATTTGTGTTCCACGTTCCACAACATAACAATGCCAACATCCAAATGTATTGATTCACAGGAATGACCTGCCTGCTCCCTCCACCATCGCTCGACATGAGTATAAAATATACGTAACAACACGTAGCTACTCAACACACAATAACGGATATGCTTGTTGGCATGTTGCCATGGGAACGGCAACTAACAACCACGGCAGCGGCCAGCGCGATACGTTGTCAAGGATATCCGTCCACATTCAGATAGGCTGCACACACAGAGAGAATGTTTTCGTGATTAGAAATGCCAAAGTTTGTAAGTATGATCCTACAAATCGCTAAGCATCGCATCACAACGAAGAGATGGTACATACAGCTCGGGCCTCGGACTCGCGGTCTGAGTCCTATTAGTACCTAATTAGGTAACAGGTAGATGGATTCGATGACGGTTTGGTGTGACTTCTTCGTTAATTATGAGTCACAAGACTCACAAGAGATATACGATTCATGAGCTCATGTTTCCGAATGCTAATACTCATATGAAGTCAAACGTGAATCGATTAACCTACAGCATGTCATTATCGTTGCAGTCGAAATTGCGTCTTCACATACCATTGCTCATTATAATCGAGATAACGTGTCGAGCCTATCTGAGGTACACGCATATTGGGGCTACTTTTGAAACACAGGGAAAATAGCAATGAAAGATTAATAGTTCTGCGCCTGATCCCGAACGCAGGGCAGCCCGTGCCGCATGTTTACGGTGTGCTCCTGTTCGATGTTCTATGTCTGCCTGGCCTGACCAATCGCTGACATATTTTCAATTATGTGAGCTCAAGGCTAAAGTTGGTATTCAAGCGTTTGACATAAATAGGTATAGGTAGAGCGTGACATAAACATGTGTTAGCCGGTTTTCAATCATTTCCATTTCATCAAACTCATTGCTACGCTACTGTTCCAGGCAAAACAACCACTTCAAGGAACTGGGAACATCGGCACTTGTTTGGCAAACACGATCGTTTTCTGTCGAATGATTGGCAGTCCTCGCTGGTTGAGTTCCGACTCGACCCCCGGCCTCAGGAAGGCGGCGGACCGGGAAGGGTGGCGCTCAGCTCATGCCACCGGTCGTGCCGCGTGTCCACGTAATTGAGGGCGTCGAACCAATGACGTAATCTCGCCCCGTGCGAGTCTATGCTCAGTTGGAGACTGCCTGCGGGAGAGTGAAAGGCAACTGACGTCAATTCAGAGTGGTATTAAGGTTCTTGAAATGGCTTCAATGCTTATGAACTGAAAAGCTGTTCTCCCTCCTAAATTCAACATCTTTGTCTTTTGGATAATAGACGAGATATTGGCCAATGTAAGCTCAATCATTGCAAAGCAGTGTAAATACTTCAGATCTTACATTGGCATCAAAGGATTTGATTTCACATCAAACTACCGTTATAAATGGTTTGATCGCAATATCAATACCAACATGAAAACATCAAGGGTTATCAAATTGACGTGTTTTGAAACTCGATACTGGAATTTAACTGCGCGTAATATGGCTTCCCCGAACCAAACATTGAATCGATGTCGGGTTCTGGTATTATGGGCTCCGACCAATGACCCTCGGTTACAGCACACAGGTCCCGACGCTATATTTCATTTTGTGATGGGCCATTTCGTTGACCGAGGTAATCCAACGAGCTCAACCGCCTCTCTCTGAACATGATATGTCGCTGCCGCCTGGGACAGCAGTGGAACTGACCGACATCCAATATCGGGGCGGAGCCCGTGTCCTCGAAAACACACACAGAGACACACATACACGCACACACATCGGGCGCCCGACCGTCAAAATCAGGTCAGGCCGGGCCCGGGTCATTGTCCCGCCCCGCCTACCGATGAAGTCGTTGCTTTTGCTGATATCTTTGTCGTAGATGCGTAGGTCCAGGGTGTGTCTGGGCAGCTCCGAGCGGCGGCACCGGAAGCAGAACTCCTCGTTGAACTTTGGGTTGGGACTTTTCCAGCAGATGGCTGTCCGGAACTGACCCGGCGCCGGTCGCAGTTGGCTGAGGCCAGACGGTGACAGGTCAGAGAATTAGGTCTGGATGTCAGCGGGGTCACCGGGGATTTACCAGCCGGGTCAGGTTGACATTTGTCGTGATATTTGGTGTCAGTCGACACCCGGGACAACGAGCGACTAGCCGACAGTGAATCATTCGAACGAGCAATTTCGTACAGATTGAAGTTGAACGTTACCCTGGCAATATTCCTTGGTCGCCAGGCTGAGGTAGGATATGTTATGTTGCAAAGTCTTCTAAGGTATACGTTTCTTTTATGATGATTTACATTACCCATGACAAGAACTCGAAAAGATAACAATATCAGGTGTTTCGTTATCCGTATCAATTAGACCCCACTCGAGAACCAAAACGTTTCAGTCTTTCTTCGCTGCACTGGTCCGGCGCTTGCCGTCGCCGGCTGAATTACTGGTGGGTAGACTGACCCGCCGAGCATGGCTGCACTGCGGCACAGCATCTCTTTCCAAAACAGCCAAACGCAGACTGTCGAGTGTCGACAGCCATGGCAAAATAAAATAAGCGACTGATTCCAAGTCCAACCAAACACACAAAATGCGAATTTTATGAGGACACTTGCAAAACCCGCTGTACGATAACGAACATCAGACCTAGATCTTAAATGCGAATAGAAACTCACACTTTGACGAAGGGGTCGGGCACTCCATTGCCGTCCGGGGCGGGCAGGTCGACACAGCGGACCACGCCGACCACCAGGACTCGCCGGGTGGTGACGTACTTCAGAGACAACAATATCCGGCCCTGGTACGAGTCGCAGTCGCCCTGTGAACCGGCCCGGACCACCAATCAGCGGCGGCCACACTGCTGACGTCATCGGACCATTTCGGCGATACGGGACGACGTGCTGGCTAAAGATATCGCGGGCTGGACACTGCGATGTCAAGCCGAATTGGGTTCTACACAAATAACTGGTCATCGGGAGCCCCTGCCTACAAAGGACGACAATTGTTTGATTTAACCTAAGTGAAAATATATTATACACTGTAAAAAAAAGTTTAGCATTTGGGGTACTAAAGACCAGGGGCGGATCCAGGAAAACTCCAAGGGGAGGGTCATGAATCGAAGTGGTGCCCCTACCTATACCCAAAATTAAAAACTCAACGGATTTCGTCCACTTCATTTTGGTGTTGCCCCCATTTTCAGTTTTTTTCTTTTTATTTTTTATTTTTAGTCAGTATCTTAACTCTTAGCCACAACCACATTTACCAATTGTAAGCAAGTATATATGAATGTGCTGTGTATATATGTTGTGGACGCTGAGTAGTGAGTACTTACCAGGAACGTTATCAGGTAAGCAAATCGTTGTCAGTCCGACGAACTTGACCCTGGCGTCTAAAGGGTCTGTCCTTGACACTTCAGGCTTGTCAGGGGCACCAAAGTCCTTCCAGGGACACCACAAACCTTTCAGGGGCACCTACGGCCTTGTAGGGGCGCCACAGGCCCGCCAGGGGCACCACAGGCCTGCCAGGAAGTAGGGGCACCAAAGGTCTAGCAAGTATACACGACAGGCCTGTCAGGGGCACAACGGACCTGTTGGGCCCATGAGCACCCCTAGGGGCAGGGGCACCACAGTCCTTCCAGGGGCACCGCAGGCCTGTGAGGGGCACCAGCGGCCTAGCAGGGGCACCAGTCAACACAGGCCTGCCAGGGGCACCACAGACCTGCAAGGGGCACCAGAGGTCTGCCAGGAGCACCACCGACCTCGCAGGGGTAACTTGGGCCTGTCAGGGGCCAGGGGCACCACGGGCCTGTCGAGAGGCACTTCAGGCTTTTCAGGGGCACCATAGTCCTCTCCGGGCGCAGGGGTAGCAGGGGCACCAGAGGCCTGCCAGGGGCACTACAGGCCTAGCAAGGGCACCACTGGTCTATCAGGGGCACCACGAGCCTGTCATAGCCAGGCATCTCAGGCTTGTCAAGGCCCAGGGGCACCACAGGTCTGTGAGGGGCACCAGCGACCTAGCAGGGGCACCAGTCAACACAGGTCTGCCAGGGGCGCCACAGACCTGCCAGGGGCACCACAGACCTGCCAGGGGCACCAGAGGTCTGCCAGGGGCACCACCGGCCTCGCAGGGGCACCTTGGGCCTGTCAGGGGCACCACGGGCCTGCCGAGGGGCACTTCAGACTTTTCAGGGGCACCAGTCCTCTCCGGGCGCAGGGGTACCAGCGGCCTAGCAAGGGCACCAGAGGCCTGCCAGGGGCACCAGCGGCCTAGCAAGGGCACCAGAGGCCTGCCAGGGGCACCACAGGCCTAACAAGGGCACCACGGGCCTGTCAGGGGCACCTCAGGCTTGTCAGGGCCCAGGGACACCACAGTCCTTCCAAGGCCACCGCAAGCCTGTCAGGGGCACCAGAGGCCTGCCAGGGGCACCACAGGCCTAGCAAGGGCACCACTGGCCTGTTAGGTGCACCTCAGGCTTGTCAGGGCCCAGGGGCACCACAGTCCTTCCAGGGGCATTACAAGCCTGTCAGGGGCACCAGAGGCCTAGCAAGGGCACCACAGGCCTGCCATGGACACCACAGGACTGCCAGGGGCACCACCGCCCTTGCAGGGGCACCTCAGGCCTGTCAGGGGCACCACGTGCCTACCGGGGACACTTCAGGCTTGTCAGGGGCGTTACAGTCCTGTCAGGGCCCAGGGGCACCAGGCCCGTGGTGTCCCTGCTAGGCCTGTGGTGCCCCTGGCGGTCCTGTGGTGCCCCTGTCAGGACTGTGATACCCCTGATAGGCCGGTGGTGCCCCTGGCAGGTCTTTGGGCCCCCGGGCCTCAAGGGGGGGGGCCATGACCCATGTGACCCCCCCCCCTTGGATCCGCCCCTGCTAAAGACTGCTATTCGTAGCACCTTTTAGCCTCAAAAGGACCCTTATACGACGTATTTACAAAGAAGCATGGTGCTAATACTGTGCTAATGATAGCTAACATTCCCATCAAATATTATAAGTTTAGATCACCTATTCTTCTACTGAGCTTAACGTCTACTTCTGCTAGTACCCAGTCCATCAGTGAGTGCTCTTTCAAGCTGGATTTCTAATTAGAACCATTTTAAGTGTTTTAGAAGTTGGTAATGCTGAATATGGTGCTTACGTTAGTATCACAATAGAACCGGACATGCTTACAGAGGAAACAAATTTGAAATTGGCGCCAATAGAAAGTAGCTAAGCCCTGCTTTACAAATCTCTGGGAGTCTTATCACCAGCCCTTTAGCACGTTTTGACGGCGCAGAGCGATATGCGCATGCGCGTGCCAGCTGTTTCCGGCCACGTGTTGCGCCATTTTAGTGGAGTCCGTTGGTCGTGGTGGGAGTGTGTGCACGTGCTCCGGTATATGAAGTGAAATGAAGTGAAGTGAAGTGCTCCGGGCACATGCCACCGAGTGATAGCTCTGGAATGATAGCTTAAATCAGCTATTATCGGTGGAATCCGTCGTGCGTGGCATGGGAGTGCGTGCCCCTGCTCCGGGAGGCAGTGAGGTGGAGGGAAGTGCAGTGCAGCAGTGCAGTGAAGTGAAGTGAAGTGCTCCGGGGCCGGGTGGTACATGAGCATTGGCCACCGACACATGCCACCGACACCGACGTTGATCGACTTTGGTGAGTCTGACACGTTGGATCTTTTGACATCTTATATTGTTTAAGTGCTTCATATTCCGACTTTGGCAAATCGCGCTTCTTGGTCTGAAGGAAAGTTGTGTTGTTTGCAAAAATAGCTCCCAACAGAAAAAAATCTTGGAACTGATCCAGTTTTTTTTTTGCTCCAGGCATGGGGCCTGGTCAGTTCTTCCGTCGACTACCACTTACAATGGAGGACAACTACGACAACAACACGGGGTCTCCGGTTCCGTCTATCACTAAACGCCGTCTGGTCGTGGATGAGGTCGAACTTATGGCCATGAACGGAACGTCGGTTCAACGACCCCCCCCCCCCCCCGCCTCCCCCAGTCGATCTCGCGTTAATCGTCGGTCACTGCGAGTGTGCAGGTATATGAGCGACCTTTCGTTATTTCCCGTGCGTTTGTTTGTGTATATATTTACATTTGTTTTTCATGCAGATGATATGAAATGTTAATAAATGTTCCATTATTATTTTCTAATTTTATAATGTGTTGGATGCTTGAAAGATGCACTTACACGGGAATATTGCAGAATGCAAAACACAATCATTGAGACTTGTAGTTATCACTTATCTAGGATATAACCTTTTTTGCACGTCTTTTCGGCCTTACACAATTTCCTTTTTGGTAATTGATTAGTCCTTTTTGCAGTAACTAGTGAAAGTATGTGCTGCTAAAGAAAGCAGTTTTTGCGAACTTTTCATGCAGCAGCTTTAACTAGTATAGATATTCTACTTTCAGCCCCAATGCTTTCGTTAGCATTATTCTACTTGTCGTGGGGTAACAATAGCGCTAACACGATTCATATGTGAGTACGGAAGGTACTAACTGCATGCTATTCTTAGCACCTTTTAAAGTTTAGCACCGCTAGGGTACTGAAAATTGGTCTAGCAGGTGTAGGGTACTACATTTAGTACACGGGTGCTAAACAAATATGGGTACTTATATTAGCACTTTGATACTAAACTAGATCTCAGTTAAGTACGAATAAAATGCTTAGCTTAGCACCGCTAGGGTACTGAAAATTAGTCAATTGAAAAGTACCTCTATGGTGCTAAACTTTTTTTTACAGTGTAGTGTTGTATACCTGTTACTGGCTTTAAAGATATTCGTATTGCTAATTTATTCCTGCATGCTGGTACCTTCGACACGACCAGGAGAAAGGGCATGCACCTAACCAGCTCCCTACATTGCTATAATTGTACATGTGTGCCGAAAACGTAACAGGTTTTTCACTTCTTTGGTCACATATAGGTAATAATATGGAAGTCATCCGGCGAGCATTTAGATGCGCACGCATCAATATCAAATTACTGGCCTTGATATTTTTCCCCAGACCCTGTCATTCATTGAATTAATCATCCTCTGATTGCATAGCCTATCTATGCGCCTCAATGACGAGATTCGGATGTTTATTTGGAGTAGCTTAATGTTGTTAGGCAGAGACGGCGAGGTTGATTACGATTCACCTTTCATTCGATATTCTCATCAAGGCTAGCTTTGGTTGCCGAGAGTGCAAAAACAGGGCCGTGGACGGCATACTTAGGAACTGTTCCGTGGGGAAGGGCTAAAGCTAACTATACAGAAGTTACGGGGTATACATTGCCTACATGGAACAATAGATGATTTATGGTCGTGTGTTGTGTAGTGTATCTACTTTTATTTGTGTTTTTAGTGTTATAGCATTTTGTTTTTATCTCCTTTTACGCATGTTTACAATGGTGTGTTCAATGTCGTTTACCGGCTTGATTGTCATGTATTTTACCTTATATCTTGTGTGATTGACGTGCATGCCACAAAATCCATGCCAGTGGAGGCATTTAATAAACTATCTATCTATCTATCTATCTATCTTCTATCTATACATATATGGAACCATGAAATAGAATGACACTGACAGTGCCTGTCTTTCGCAAGTGGGTCGAGAATTTGGCCGCACCTATCGTTAGCACTGCAGGAAGAACATTGCCTATCGTTATCCTGTCGTGCCTATCGTTAGCAGTGAAGTAGACTTATACTGCCTGTCGTTACCAGTGTGTGCGCTTTAGGTACACTGCCTATCGTTATCCTGTTGTGCCAATCTTTAGCAGTGTGTGCGACTTACGCTGCCTATGGGGAGCAGGGGTTTGCAGAAGAAGTGCAGCCGGTGCGGAGGGATGTCAGCCAGCCGCACCAGCGTCTCACCCAGGATGTCGTGGCCGTTCGGGTTCTCATCTGCGGGGACGCGGGGGGGGGGGGAGTGAGCGTGAAGGGCGGTCACCGCCGCGCCGGCCTGTATGTAATCTGCAGGGCGGGGTGTGATTATTTCTGCCGCTGTAATTCTGATACTAACCTCGACATTTCTAGGAAAGATTACAACGGTGAAATATTCTACATCAATTGGAGGCGGATAATGGCCAAGTTGAAATGAGTAGAGAACAGTCATTTGCGGCGTTTAACATAAAGTGAAAGGATCGCAGCGAGACATTTCGTGTTGACTCACAGAGTGTCCGTTGAACTAGCTGAGTACCGACACCCACAGAGTGCTGCATGGGGAACTCACCGAGTACCGACACCCACAGAGTGCCCCTGGAGCTCACCGAGTGCCGACACCCACAGAGTGCCCCTGGAACTCACCGAGTACCGGCACCCACAGAGTGCTGCATGGGGAACTCACCGAGTACTGACACTAGAGCACTTCACGGATAGGCTTTTTAGGATCCGGCCCGGCCCATATCCGGCAAGTCATATCCAGATCCGCCCATTATCCGCCTTTCTTTGAATATCAGAATCCGGCCCACCCATGGCCCGTATTGCAGCCAAACTTCCAAAAAATATCCGTAATAATCCGTTTCACCAATAACTGGTTTCACCCAAAACTGGACTAACAAATTCAGTCTAAGGGACCAGACAGCCATACATCTCATAGACCATCATGGTTCCAAAAACCATGCATACCGTAAACCGGGGTGAGTTGATATGGATTTTGAGGTTTTTCTAGATTTCTTTAAAAGTCACATTCATTTACGGAATTCTTTTTGTGCCAGTTTCATGCCACATGCCTTGGGGAGGCAATCAGCAAAAATGAATAAATATGAATATATTATGCCCCTTTTTTTAAAACGCCAAAGTTCATATCAACTCACCCCCTGGAGGGTGGTGAGTTGATATGGTTTTGGATTTTTCAAAATTTTTTCGGCTAAAGAAGCTCAGAGGTGAGTTGATAAAATGCCAGTGTTTAAAAAAAGGATGTGAGAACACATCTTAAAAGAAACCATCAGAAAAATGGTAGTAGTTTGGCAGCAGACCTCACATTGATGAAAACGCAATCATGTCCAACACAGCGCTATCAAAATGGCTTGATTTTAGCAGCATCATTTTTTCGCTTTATGATACTTAGTTTTACTTAGAACATTCTGAACTTGGCTAGTTACGTGTCCTCAAGCCAACGGTATCAAAACTGGCAATATATTTTGGAATTACAAGTGTATTTTCTTGTAATTAAAACACATTGTCAGTTGCGGGTCAAGGTTGATATGCCTCTGACAGAGATAATGGATTGAAATGAAAGAATACATATACTTCTGAGCTTTTGTTGACTGGTAGTCAACAAAATATTAATGAAGTGAAGTAAAGCGAATCTAATTCGGACTGTATTCTATAAGGTGAAATAAGCGACATAAAAAAGAATTCGGCATCAAAAGCCAAAATTAACCCTCGCACTTATAGGCGGGCGAACGGACCACCTCGGCTTTTCGCACATAACTCGCGCAAAAAGCGGCCGATCACGACGAAACTTTCAGTACCTCTCGAGTTTATCAATTTTACACATGTTCTAAAGATTTCATGACCCTGACTCAAATGGTTTTTGACTTGTAACCTGATTCTCGAGACCATGCTTGGCCGGAATCGCGATTTGGCTTAGTCGGCTCACATTATCCGCGCATTTCCAGTCTTTTTGTGATTGTAACGTCCAAACATGTAAATGATGTTGGTCCCACGCAGTATTGTGGGTGTCAACTGTCAAGGTCACCTGAAGGTCAGGTCAGGTCATTGACCTTTGGTGACCTCGGTTCACTTTTTGGAGTTTTATCTAGGGTAGTTTTTTTCGGGCCGATTTCGAATTTAACATGCATTTGATCATTTATGAAGTAGTTTTAGTGCCTTCGTAACATGTTACGACACCGTCAGTGGTAGTTGACACTTGACACTCCCTATGATAGCCGGCAGGACACCTACTAGTTGACCTGACCTGACCTGACCTGGCCTAAATGTACGAAGACATCTGTGATCAAAACTAACATGACATTCGTGATCAGCAACAGCCAAAAAATAATAAACTCGCTTTACGAACTTCAAATAACCCCCTATTTTCCCGACTTCTGGGTAATTGACCTGGCCGGGAAAGTTAACCAATGACCTAGGACCTTAAAGTTGGTTATCATCGGCTTCCTCGCGTCTCGGGCAACACGCTCATTTTTTCCGCGAAGCTCTAGCTCCACCAGGGCCAAACGACGATGGGATTCCAACGGACCCCCCCCCCCCCCCATACGTTAAACGCTGGCAAAACACGAATACGGGCCAGGGCTAAAACACCAGTCAATTTCTTTATATTGTTTGTTCCATTTCATTTTGTCACTCATTCTCGGTTGGCAACTGCCAAGCAGGAAAACTAATCAGTTTCACGAGATCAGAATTCCCGCGCTGTTAGTCATACAGAAACGACAGTTCTGTCATTTTCGAAACTACGAATAATTATAACAGTTTTTTTTAATCTGTATGTATATAGGACATAGGTGTTCTATAGTGTTCCTTTGTAGCTTGTAGGGAGCCATCTTGAGACTTGACAGGGAGTTGTGCTGTGCCTTTTGCATGTTAGGTAGGTATGTCCACAGAAAAAACTTCGGAATTACTGATGTTAGTTGTCGGACCTTCGTCCCCGTCTTGAGTTGAGATGTTAGTTTTACAACGTTTCGGCCAGTTACTCTCCGGCCGTCGTCACTCGTCAGGTGTGCTTTGACACTCAGAAGGACCTGGTTGTTGGTGGCGTTGCGCCGTACACGTCAAACAGTTCGAAAGCTCCTGTAGTCAGCGGGAATCGAACTCGGGTTTCCCCGGTAATGGTCCACGGTTGTAACCACTCCACTATCGAGGCAGATTTGACTATGGCCGGAGAAGTTACTGGCTCAAACGTTGTGAAACTAACATCTCAACTCAAGACGGTGACGAAAGTCCGACAACAAACATCAGTGATACTAACAGGTCTCGTCTCAAGCATTCAGAAAAAAAAACTAAAGCTTTTGGGGGTTGATGGAATGATGTGGGGAAAGAAAAGGAGAAGAGTTGGTCTAATTGACTTTGTCTTACCTGCAGACCCGTATTTCATGCTAATTTGCATGCATACCAGCCTAGTATCAGCTTTTATCATGCATATCAACTCACCACTTGATGGCATATCAACTCACCACCTGTCACTTTTCTCAAAATTATAAAAAAGCGTTGTTATAGGTGAAACCCAAAACTACCTGGGATCAACAGTAAATTGATGGTAGTTTCTTTCCCAGTGCACGTTGTTCCATGAATATCCACCGTCTTTGCTGTAGGGTGGGGACTTTTCCTTAGTTTCAAAATCAGAAGAAAAAAAGGATTTTGAAAAAAGTAATGTGTTAAGAAGGCACTGCACCACATGCATGCCTTTCTCAGCTATATGCATCACTTATTGGTTGCTTCACTTCACAGAAAAATAAAACTGAAAATTGGTTTACAAATGGATGAGCAGCACACATTTTAACATTTTTCGAGCAATTTATATCAACTCACCACCCCATATCAACTCACCCCGGTTTACGGTACATTGCATACATTATCCACTTGAAGACAAGTCTTGTGACAAGTGAGTGTCATAAAATGATGCCTATTACTTTAATCAAACCTCTGCTGCCTAATCAAACACATTAGGTTAATTTTTAACTTCAATGTTGAATGTTAAAATTTTGATCCGTTTTGATCCGGGTTCAACCTTCAATTCCCAAATCCGGCCCGCCCATATCCGTTCTTTTTCAACAAATTTAGAATCCAATCCTATCCGGTCCGCGGATTTATCCGTGGATAACGGATTTATCCGGCCCATGAAGTGCTCTAACTGACACCCACAGAGTGCCCCTGGAACTCACCGAGTACCGACACCCACAGAGTGCCCCTGGAACTCACCGAGTACCGACACCCACAGAGTGCTGCTGGCCACCACATCTGAGTGAACGTTGCAGTAGGTGAGAGTTTCGTTAAACTCGGCGTCTGAGGAGCCCGACACCGTTCGCGTCCGAAGCTTGTTCGTCTGAAATTATCAACAGTGAGAGTGGGCCGTGCTTTACGGCAACAATGTTCTGAAAACACGCACTGTCTCTAACTATAAATCCAATTATACGGCATTCGGCGATTTTAGATGTTTTGGCCATGTATACGAAAACATACAAGTTTTTAGTCATTATTGCGGGCCGAATAAAAACATGTGTACCTCGCTCCCCAGCAAAAAGAGAAAGGTAATTCGATTTACTGCTTGCACTTGACGTATGATTGACCACAAGGCACCGCATAAAATGACTCAAATGACCCGCACTTAACATTTTCAGCAACAAAGACTATAACAAACAAATATAAATGATAGCCAGTTCTGCCGTAGCGCGGCATCAAAGCGAGGGGCAGAATACCGGGAATACTGAATACACAGAATACTGAGCCCATATTGATTTACTGTCGCGGGTTATAAGAAGGATCCACGACACAACGCAAGGATGCACGAGTCTCCATGAAAGACTTGAGCCTGCGGGTATGTGATAAATCATCGTATACAAAGAAACAAAGCATGTTTTGAGGACGCAAGAGCAGTCGGAAAAGAATCAAGAATCAAGAATCAAGGTTGTTTGGGCTCTGGAAGAAGACGTCGAGGTCTATGTTGTAGCCCATTTCTTTTTTGAATCACGCGTTTTTCTATATCAGTTTGATTTCTCTTCGGTCAGTCTTGTCTGTCTGCCCGATGTTTGTCGTATCTTGACTTAAATTGGTTAGATGTTTTTGCCATCTTGGTGTGAGAGCTTAACAAATTCCATTTATTTATAACTCTTTGTGAGAAAAATCTTCCTCTCTTCAACGTCCGGTGGTGGGGCTTGTACAGTTTGAGGTAATCTCGCTCTGTTCGGTTTCTAACGTTAAATAATTGGGTGAGGTCACACTCGTGGAGCTGATGGAGGATTTTGTGGGTCTCAAGTAAGTCTCCCCGTTCTCTTCTCTCTTCTAGGGTGGTAAGCTTAAGCTGTCTCAGCCGCTCTGGATAATTTAACCCTTGCAGTCCCACAACTCTTCTTGTAGCTGCTCTTTGAACTGTTTCAATCTTCTTGATATTATATTTCTTATATGGAGACCACACTTGGGGACAGAATTCAATGTGAGGGCGAACAAATGTTTTGTATGTGAGATTAAACATTGCCGGCCTCAGCTTTTCAAAGGTTCTCCTTACCATGCCCCAACTGGCATATGCTCGTTGGGTGCATTTGTTGATATGTTTGTTGAACTCGAGCGAGGAGTCAACAATAACACCCAGGTCTCTTTGTTCGTTGGTGTTCTCCAGCTTAGTACCACCGAGCATGTAGACTGGTCTGTCGGACATCATTTGTTTGGTGCCGATTCGAAGGGTCTGGCACTTAGAAGCATTGCAGCATAGTTTCCATTGACGAGACCAGTGCTCAATCTCTTGGAGATCCCCTTGTAAGCGCTCCACATCTTCATGTGACTTGATGTGTCGGTAGATTTTACTATCATCAGCAAAAATTTGCACCTGGCTAACTATTTGATCCGGCATGTCATTAATAAACAGAAGGAACAGTGTGGGACCGATCACTGAGCCCTGTGGGACGCCACTTGCTACCTTTGCCCAGCTTGAGTGGGCTCCGTTGACTACAACTCTCTGTTTCCTATCGTAGAGGAAGTCTTCAAGCCAGTTAAGCAGCTGACCGCCAATCCCTGATCGGTATAATTTATGACAAAGTCTTGCATGTGGTACGGTGTCAAAAGCTTTTGCAAAGTCTAGATAGACAATGTCTGTAGGTACCTTTTCATCAAGGCTGCGGCTGCAGTCTTCCAAAGTGGAGAGGAGGTTTGTTAAACACGACCTTCCGGAAACAAATCCGTGTTGGCGTGGGTTCAAAATGTCGTTCTGCAAAATATGACTCATTATTTGTTCATTGACGATTCTTTCCATCACTTTACTGCATATGCAGGTTAAACTAATTGGGCGGTAGTTTTGGGCTTCAGTTCTTGATCCCTTCTTATGGACTGCTGTGACGTATGCCATTTTCCATAGACGAGGGACATGTCCAGTGTCCATCGAGTTTTTGAATATGATCCTCAAAGGTACTGCTACATTTTCTGCGAGTTCAGCTAGGAGACGTGGGTGAAGATCATCTGGCCCTGGTGACTTGTAGGACTTAAGCTCTTTCAGTAGCTTGATGATATGTTGAAGAGGCATTTCAACTGAATGTAATTCGGGTACATCTGGATGCCGACAGTGGGTGAAAGGACACATTTGCTCGTCTGACAGTGAGGAGAAGAATTCGTTGGCGTAAATCAAGTCAGAGTCATCTTCTAACGTGAACACATTCTTGAAGTGTTGGTTGAGGGCAGCGGCAGTTTCTTCGTATGTTGATGATGGGGTTCCGTCTGCCTTGGTAACTTGCCCTACTGGCTCTCGAACTTTGTTTTTGGAGTTACAGTACGCATAAAACAGCTTGGGATTAGTTTTGATCTGATGAAAAAGTTTTTCTTCGTGCTTTGTTTTGATGTTACGTAGACCATAATGAGCCTTTTTTCTTGCCTTGATGTATTTCTTTCTATACCTTTCCAACTCTGGTAGCTTTAACCTCTCTGCCCTCATGTAGGCATTCCAAGCACGGTGTTTCTTTGCAATCTTCCTTTTTGCTTCATTGTTAAACCACATTTTATTATTATCTCTGCCCCTACACATCGTTTTCACAGGAACACATTCTTTCCGGATTTGCATTAGGTGTTCAACCAGTAAATCATACTGCTCATCGCTACTTTTGTTTGACAGCATGGCAGTCCAGTTAACTTGGGAAGCCATGTTCCTTGCCTTTTCATAGTCTCCCTTCATGTAGTTCCACACCGTTTTTAGAGGCTGATTATTTTTCAAACATCTGACATCAGGAATAAGTAGGTCTGCTTGTATGACGCCGTGATCGCTTTTGCCGAAGGGAGGTAATACCTCCGCGCCTTCAATGTCATCTGCTCGACTTGTTATCAGTAGGTCCAAAAGACTGGGTTGATTTGATCCCCTTGCTCTGGTAAAGTGCCTGATGTGCTGGTGTAGTCCATTTGTTTGCAATACGTTCAGCACTTCAACTGGTGTGTTGAAACCCTCATTGTTTTTATTCTTAGACGACGAGTCGTTCCACGAAATCTCAGGAAGGTTGAAATCACCACATATTAACGGGTTGTTTGTTAACGTTGAGGCTTTGGTAATCAATTCTATCAAGATTTCATCATTTCTTCGGCAGCTGTTTGGTTTTCTGTACACAATACCCAAAAGCATTCTGGTGGTTCTTGACACCTTTATCCAGACCCAACAAGATTCTTTGAATTGACTTGCATAATCGTCAAGTTCGTGACAAGTTTTCATTTCAAGCCCGTCTTTTACGAACGCCAGTATTCCACCACGTCTTTCTTCCAAATTATCCTGGCGATGAATTTGAAACCCATGTTTCCTTAACAGTGTGTTTGGCAGGTCAATATTGCAGTTACTCTCAACAATTGCTAGTATGTCGGGCTTAAAGGATTCCAGGTACAGATGTAATTCAGGTAACTTGTTACCAATCCCATCAGCATTTGTGAAAGCAACTTTGAGTTTGAAAGATAATCTTGAGCTTTGAACATTTTTGCAACCATCAGGGTCTTTATCTAAGCTGTCACAGACCCTTTCTTGTCTTCCTTTAACGTCTTCCTTGTCTTTCTTCAAAGAGCTCCTCTCCTCTTTGGTCTTTGGGGACAACACGCCCCCGAAATATACGGTGGGTGGTCTTCCCTTTCACGTTCAGCTCTTCCCTTAATTTGCGTTGAATTTCACGTTCCTCAGGTGGGAGGTCGCGACTCATATAAATGTTCGCGAAGCCTGAGTTCTTGAGAAAGTATCTCAATTTCATCAGTCGCTCCACGTCGTCTTTGCTTGTCAGCTTTACAAGAAGTAGTCTCGGTTTTGTCGTGTTGACTGTGTGGGTTCCATCTCTTCTAACTTGACCCGCGTCATTCCTTCGGCCGAGTCTAAATCATTGACAGTCTGGATATCTTGGTATTCCCCTAGCAAAGCATGAACTATGTTTGCGAAGCTGTCCTCGTCGTATCTCTGTCTCGCCGCTGGGTCAGCTGCCCTACTTTCCGGAATGTTGTGCAAAATAATGTTTTCTTCTCTCTTCCACTGATCTTCCTTGGTCAGGGTTTTGAGCTTGTCTGTAACTGTCTTGAGAACTTGGTCACAAGTTCCTCGAACTGTTTCAGCATACGTTTTTGCTTGCAGTGTGGGCGCTTCTGCAGAGACTGCCTGCTTGACTTCATGCTCGTGGGCTGATAATAATTTGTTGAGAGCTTTCGTGTTGCTCTCAATAGCTTGCTCCAAGTTTGCAATCTTGGTTTCGATGGCGGTGCAGTTCTGCCTCATCTTGTCCTGAGTTATCTTGCCAGTTTTACAGAAGCTGCAGACAAAGGATAGGACACTGTACTTTTGTAGTGCCTGCATAGCTGGCCCGCATATTTGTTGACAGTCTGCATGGAACAGAAAGCCGCAAGTAACACAGAGCGCACCACTGTCATCTTCTATCGGCTTCCCACAACGCTTATCAGATCCTCCTTTGCACGTTTTAATCTCTTCACCATTAGCATATTCAACTGTCTCAGGTTCGCTGCTAGGCGACTGTATGGATCCAACGATCTTTTTCTTGTTTTTCTTCGATTTTCTAGCAATGATCCATTGCTTACTGTCCATGTCATATCCTCCAATGGAGTCATCCGAGTCGTCGTCAGATAGATTGATTGTGCTTATAGCACAACCTGTTTTGACATTTGCTGCCATTTCAAAAAGTAGAGCAAGAGGCGCAGAAGTGCCTCGACTTGCTGAGTGCACGAGTGTGCAGATTAAAAATCAAGAGCAAGCTGCCCACCTCGACAAATACGAAAATATGTTCTTAAGTAAGAAAAATGCAATTTTTGAAGAGTTAGAGCAGGCACAGCTTTCACTTTTGTGCTAAAACAAAACAATATAAATAATCTACGTTAAATTAACAACATTTACATACACATTTTAACACTAAACTAGAATCCCTTCCGCATGAAACACGGTAAATAGCGGAGCATCTTTAAACACGTCTATCCCCTTGAAAAATCCTTGACCAAAAGCTCTCAATGATGAGTTCTTACATCGATACATTGAATGTTTTTGCATGGATAAACCGGATGCCCCTATCAACATGACGGAGGCATTTTTGGGATACGTGTTGTTGCACGAAGGCCGTCACCTTCTTACCTTATGCAAACCAGGCACCAGATGCAGTTTTACGTAGGCGTTTACAATCTCTCCGTCCAGCGGACACAAACCCTGTAACAAGAGACCGGGAGATAATACACAATGAAACATATTTAATATAGTGTCAGTAATTAACCCGTCAGCTAATGCATTACGTCACTTTGCTAATCCGTTCAGCGACCACAAAGAAACGTCTCAACAGAAATCTTCACATGGGATGCTTGATGGGTGAATTACAGTGTAATGCATAGGAAACACTCAACTGCAAAAAGATAACTGTTTCCTTAGAAGACGGGATAACTGATGAAATGACAAGTCAGTTAACTCGGTCTGGCTTAGTATCATTAGGTATAATGACTCATCACAAGCACATTTGGTCAGCCCCCTACAAAAACAACTTTTGTACACCACCATACGACGCCGTAACTCAGCATTACACAAAGCAGCAGAACACAACGACTGCAGCACCAGACGTAACCACGCACCATACGATAGCATATGCTACACCACTGCATAACCCATCACCACAAAACACCACACCACACAACCCACCACTACTCGTTGCTACACACAACCCACCATGACTCAATGCTACACACCTTCCAGCACCACTCAACAACACACACCACCCAGCACCACACCGTCAGCACCATCTAGCACCATACCGCCAGCACCACCCAGCACCATACCGCCAGCACCACCCAGCACCATACCGCCAGCACCACCCACCTCCCGGCCACAACAGACACCCGCACTGTCTCCTGGCCTCTGTCACGCCGAGGGAGCTTACCCGTACTCTGTGGACGCAACAGTGTATTGATTCCACCGCCGGGTCGACCATGACTGAGAACTCGGCGGTGCCGGCGCTCCCACCTGTCGACAGTGGGACAGTGGGTGATGGTGGGGCAGCAGTGGGTGAGCGGTGGGACTACACGGTGGGATGGATGTACGGAGGGTGATGGGATCGACAGTGGGGCTGACAGTTGGTGATCAATTAACAGTGGGACGGACGTTGGGTGGTGAGAATGCCGGGACGACAGTGGGACTGACGGACGGGCGGTGGGTGGTAGGACGACACAGTGGGACGGTGGGTGGTGGGACGACACAGTGGGACGGATGAGGGGTTAGTGGGCTGACAAAACACTGCAGTCGTCTTGACCAGCCCCAGCCTGCAGCTCCGCACCGTGTGGTCAGCCACAGCATGGCGCTCAGCCTCAGCACTGTTATAAGGCTCGGCATCAGCACAGCTCTCCGTTATCAGCTTTAGCACGGCGCGCTCCCGCTGATGTCATCAGGAACATCAACAAAAACATACGACGAGACGTCCGGAGAGATAGAGGCTCATCCGACCCGTCAGAATCAGCGGGAGAAATAGGAACTCATTCGGCGTGTCAGCTCTGATAAGACTGCTAAAAACTGCGAGGAAAGAGAGAAGCCTGATGAAGCGCGCTATCACTCCACACATATGGCCGTAAAGCCCAGATGAGCTAATTAAACGCCGTCCTGCGTCCGGGAGCAGTACAGGGGACGGGACGCGATGTCGCAGCACGGATGCGCGCAGATCGTATTGTCTTTTTTCGCATACACTCGCCCTTATGGCACGCGAGCAGTCTCCAGGGAACATACTTGCATCAGGCTAATGAACCCGACACAATTTACTCAACTACCGTAATAACATGCGGTAGGTAAATACCAATAGTGTGGCAGATTGCTGCGCAATGCATTATTGTCACTATTACATTGTTCTACTTGCTAAATGGAGCAGAAATCCACATTTGGTACTGTGCCGACTGGAAGCAGATTATTCAGACCAAAATATGGTAGCCTGCCGAAAGTTCCGTGATCTAGTATTCGCGGCACTTGCTAGAGCACCGTCTCACACGGCCATTTGTTTAATTAGAGACCCACGGGGACAAGTATACTGTAATCGTTACTCAGGATAAAGCAGGCGCCCTGGGAAATCACGACCAGAACGAGAAGGTCCGCACGTCTGGACGGCGCGGCGGTGAGCCCGTCCCGGCCGGACCGAACCGTCTTCCTCCCTCCCTCTGTCTTACTCACTCACTCACTCACTCACTCATTCACTCACTCACTCACTCACTCACTCACTCGCTCACTCACCCACTCACTCAGTCACTCACTCACTCACTCACTCACTCACTCTCTCTCTCTCTCCATCTCTCTTTCTCCTTTCTTCCTCTTCCTCTCTGCCTCTCCGTCTTCCTTGTTCCCTCCCTTTTTCCTTCCTTCCTCCCTCTCTCTCTATCTCTCTTTCCCTTCATCACTCCGTCCCTCCCTCTCTCTCTCATTCTCCCCTCTCACCGTGTCTGGAACTGTGGCTGGGAGAGCAGTAGAGTCCACTCCGCCCACCACTGATGCTGGCCCGCCTGCGACCAGCCGCCCCCGCCCCCGCCCCCGCCCCCGCCCCCGGCGCGGCCGTAGACCGAGGTGAACCGACGCAGGACCGGCTCGTCGAACAGTCGCCGGTAGGCCTGGGGAGAGATGCAGAGGTAGGGTCGGATCAGGACACACTGAAGCGCCAGTGTGCAACAGAAGTGTCACGCGTCGCTAATCATGTGCCACTTGGTTCAATCCAGTGAAATCGATCGGTCATGAATTTATAAACGGATAAGGTCGTATCCCAATGAAATATGAGATAGATACAGGTAGTAACATTTTTGCTACACTTTGATGTTCATTTGTTCAGTTCTTCGCGGGTTTCTTCATAAAATGGATTGCCTCTCTATCACGCTACAAGAGTTCTATGTTGTCAGTACGGCGTTACAATTGTGCAAACGGCAGTTCCGAAGTGGGTCGAATTTTCCGCTCGGCTGGGTGTTTGCCTCCACACTGAGGCTCGCTGCTTTTCGCGGCTGAGCGGACGCCTCGGAACTGAGTTCGACTGTGATATTTACAGACGCTGGCCGTCTCGTTATCGGTGGCTAACCAACTGAACACGAACGTTAAACATTGCCCAACTAGGCTTCAATCTGATTCCCGAGACATTGATTCAGCGCGGCTATTAGGGCTGGGCTTATTCGATCTGAAACCCGTGCATTAAATGCTCCTTTGAGAAACCTAGATACGACATGTAATTAAATGAAGCCGATCAATTCAATGGCATACATGTGACGTGCGTGCTGGAATGTAAGCGTCGTATCACTGCTGTGTAATTAGTACTTGTGTGTCGGTGGCCCTCACCCGTCGCTGCCCGGCAGTGATCCCCGTTTGGTCCGGTGGGGTGCCGGCAGACCGGACCAGCTCCTCCTCACAGTCGTCTCGGTACGGTCAGCTGTGGAACAGACCAGCAGTGGTGTCAGCAGAGTCAGACCGGACCAGCTCCTCCTCACAGTCGTCTCGGTACGGTCAGCTGTGGAACAGACCAGCAGTGGTGTCAGCAGAGTCAGACCGGACCAGCTCCTCCTCACAGTCGTCTCGGTACGGTCAGCTGTTAAACAGACCAGCAGTGGTGTCAGCAGAGTCAGACCGGACCAGCTCCTCCTCACAGTCGTCTCGGTACGGTCGGCTGTGGAACAGACCAGCAGTGGTGTCAGCAGAGGCAGACCGGACCAGCTCCTCCTCACAGTCGTCTCGGTACGGTCAGCTGTGGAACAGACCAGCAGTGGTGTCAGCAGACCGGACCAGCTCCTCCTCACTGTCGTCTCGGTACGGTCAGCTGTGGAACAGACCAGTAGTGGTGTCAGCAGAGTCAACAGGAGCACTGAACAGCAAAACGCGAACCGTAGTATATCATACACATGAGCTGCAATACTTCCTTTAAAAGGTGAAGATTATTGAGAGCCTTACGATTGTATCAGTTTAAGAACGCCTCGGCGACAAAGGCCATTGGCAAGCAAGAATTTTCAACAAAATTGAAGTAATCATATTTATGTGCATGATTTTATTCGCCTATCAACAAGCCAGAGTTGCACTGAGTCACAGCATGCATTTTTGTTAAATTCGTCCTATTCCTCACATACGGCAAACAAGAACATTGTGTAATTACACGGATGTAGTGATCTTTCTTTCTTCGTCTCTCTCTCTCTCTCTCTCTCTCTCTCTCTCTCTCTCTCTCTCTCTCTCTCTCTCTCTCTCTCTCTCTCTCTATCTCTCTCTCTCTCCCTCTCTCTCTCTCTCTCTCTCTCTCTCTCTCTCTTACGTTCTTTGGATATGGCTCCCTTATTATTCAAGAATTGCCATTATGCAGATTGCGTTGTCAGGACAATCACTTGGAGACAGTTGACCTTCAAAGAAATACAAATGTCTCATATTCTTTATATGCCAGCAAATGAGACGATGCGATATCCGAAAGTAGAATCTTACGTGCCCTAGTAATTAGGTATCTCATTACGTAATCTCTAATTACCCACCTATTCAATTCAGGCGTAATATCAAAAAAGTGCAGCGAGCTTTGAAACGTTTATGCTGAAAATCTATGAAAAGCCTGACTTGCACATTGAAGTGCTCGATCCTATTATTTATAACGATGTCACTTAGTCCGTATCAGAATACAAATATTGTATATAAAATACCAATCAAAATATTGTACAAAATTATGCCTCCTCAAAGGCATCCATTACCTGCGTAAATGTCAGCTGCTAAAAGGCTGTCGGACACTGTATTGACTGACCCCGGGACCAAATTGCCGGGTGTTGTAACAATGATGCCTATGTTGCAAAGTTTGACGGCCTTTAGGACCAGAGTTACAGATGAATGGCCGACGCTAAAACAGAAACCACAGAAGCATTCGACTTCTTTTTTCGATTGTTGCAAAGTCTGTTTTAGGCCGATTTAAGTTTCATAATTTTACGCATCACAGACATACATACATGTTGATGTTAAAGCCACTTCTATTCTTCACTTTGCTTGGGTATCCATTCCATTCGCCGTGCTTTTTAATTATTACTTCACCAAATATGAAACATAGCAATAATGCTGGCATTACACTTTCGCTTTTATCTCGTTTGAATACGCTACAGAACATTGCTAATGTTCTCAAAACAGCTGCATCTAATTTTCAGCAGTTGCATAATGCGTCAGTCGGGGTAACTGGAACGTATGCAGTTATATTTAGAGACTCAACGCGGCGCGTCTCAATCAGCTTACAGCATCTGCAGGATAACCCCTTAGATGCATAATGCATGTTTTGGCCGGAAAGACGCATCCCACTCACGGTCAATCTGAAATGGTCCGACTATATGGATGTAACTAGCTGATCTTTGATTGCTGTTACCGTTGCTACTCTATACCTATAGGTCTTCCCAGGAGGTGAAACGAGAGCGTCAAAGGGTTGCCGGCCAGAAGTCCCATTTCCAAAGGTCAGTGCCTTGGTAATAAAGGTAAACATAAATCATGGAGCCTCACATGCATTTACTTTATTGGCATTATTTGCAGTTTTAGATACTCCTTTAGCCAGACAGAACTCGTCACACTCAATTGTACAGGGTGTGCGTGTTTTTGTCAGCACGTCTTCAAAAGAAAAAGTGGCATGGCATAAGTGTGAGCTTGTAATGTGCTTGCTCGAAAACTGCGTGTCTTCTTTACTTACCTATCTCCGAGCTTCCGAGCTGTCCAATACCACAGTCCACAGGATGTTCTGCAGTCTCATATTTTCCCACGATATTGCCCGTTTCTCAGAAACATGAATGACTTATCTATGAGACTGTCACACGCTAAACAGTTACAGTTACTTTTTTTATACGTGAAGCCACCTCACAGCAAACCTGCCGTCCAGATCTGTCCACTGCCGACACCGCATACGTCACAGCCGGCGACGCTGGACGGCCGCCCTGGCCGGTGATTTTCCCCCGGGCACTGATGGCAGCGCTCGTTTGACCTCCCATCCCCTCCTCCCCTCCCCAGCCGAGACAGTAGCGTGCCGACCCTCCCCCCGCCCTGAGCTTCGATTCCCGGTCGGTCATGAGCACGAGGTCACGCGTTGAATAGGGATAAGGTCACGGAGGGCACGCGAATCACAAGGCAAATTACGTGACACGCCACCCGAGGCTCCTCCGATGGGGGATGATTGGAAATAGTCACCAAATAGAATCCGGTGTGCAAGTTGTCTACAGTTGAGTTATTAGGTGTGATTGAATAATGAATGCGTTGTGTCACGTCAAAATGCAACACAACAAGATATATCGAAATTCGAAATATGATTCAGTTACTTGGATGCGAGAAGACGATTCAGTGGCACGATCATCTTCTATAGGGCCTTTCCTCACACTTGTAACATCTCTGAATGTATAAGTTTATCTGAGAGACCTCGAAAAGATATTGCTTACATTATTAGATTAAGCACAATAAAGTGTATCTGACACGAATTCAAAGTGCTTTACATTTCAAACAAATGTCTTATTGTGCACAGTGTGAGCAACGTTTGCAGATAAATATAAGCATGATAAAGACTAAAGACATATGGTGTCGAGTGTCATTATTCATGGAATGGGTACAATGATATCCCGACTGCCTTTTATTTCATGAGCTCCCGAGAGACCGTATTTGCTCATGCCGTCATTAAGTCCATGCATCGATTATAGGCCGATTGACTTGATCGGGCCCTCCGGCATGCATTTCATACTGCAGCACAGCTGTCTCTTATCGCACAAACATAATCTACAACGTAGCGCCTCTCAGTAAGGTAGGATGCAGCCATGAAGGCAGCTTCACTATGATGCAGGCTGAGCAGCTGCCTTGCGGCACAGCATTACTCAGGCGCTAGACTGCTAGGGACATCTAGCGGCAAAGTAGAAAACTACTAGGCGCTGCGGCACAGCATGGATCAGGCTCTTACTATGAGGATCGAGGAATATTTAGCGGCGAAAGAGCGAGCGGGGAAGATTCATGACAACTTTGCTTGAGCGTAAACTCCTCTTTCATAATAAGCTGTTGGTCTTTTCAGTACAAATATTATTGTATACTAAGCATTGCAGGATTTATGCACTGTTCTAAAGAAGTTAATACATGGCTCCTTACAGGTAGGTAAATGAAAGAAACATGCAACTGTACTCCAACTAAATACGAACTGTTATTTTGAAAACATTATGCATTTTTATAGAAAAATCCCTCAAAATAACTTAGGATACATCAACTTAGATGGGGTCCAACAATATTCGGATGCTGCTCCCTTTACCCACTGTTTTCCGTTTCATTGATTTTGTTTTACTGCTTACTCAGCTTGTGAAACTTCTTCTAAGCGACACCCCGGCAAAGTTTCTCAAGACCACTAAAACAAAGAAACGAAAACATCCGTGCAGTACAAAAGCACAGCGCTACGTCGGTAACTAAAAGTAAGAGCTGAGACAATCTGCAAGTTGGGCTGTTCGTTGGGAAGAGGAAATTGTTTGTGGAAACAGACATTCGAATACGGCTAGCCATAACAATCATTCATTTTCTGAGCTATTTTGAGATACGCTTGTGCATGTATGAACACGTGCTTGCATGCACATTTACTCTTGAGTTTGTGCCTCACGCGGCTAATCTATATCGGTAATCCCGGGACGCCCGAGAGCCTTACCTTGTGGTGCGTCGCCGTTGGTTGTCGTTTCCGGCCGCGTCTCCGCCTGCTCCTCGGCTGGGCTGCATATAGAGCAGTGGACCGAATTCACCTCACGACCAGGGCGAGAGGCGAGAGGCGGGGAGAGGGAGGGAGGGAAAGAGTCGCGGGGAGGAAGGGCAAAAGAGAGGGAGAGAGAGGAGAATGAGAGAGTGAAAGAAAGAGAGAGGGGAAGAAAGAGAGAGGGAGCGGGAGAGAGAGAGAGAGAGAGAGTGAGAGAGAGAGAGAGAGAGAGAGAGAAAGAGAGAGAGAGAGAGAGAGAGAGAGAGAGAAAGAGAGAGAGAGAGAGAGAGAGAGAGAGAGAGAGAGAGAGAGAGAGAGAGAGAGAGAGAGAGAGAGAGAGAGAGAGAGAGAGAGAGAGAGAGAGAGGGACGGGAGGGGTCCGCTGGTACACGGCGTCTGTCAGGGTCGCTGGCGCACGTCCGACAATCTCCCGTCATCACTCGCTGACGAGCTCAACATGCTACGACGCTGACCGAGCTAGAGACAGAGCCACTCGATTTAGCTACGATGAAACCGTTTTAGCAGACTGGCTGACTGATTATGGTGGCGACTGTTAAACATGCCACGCTCGTGAGCTAAGAAGCGACAAATCTGTGCTGCCATGCTAGATATCTGTGTCAACGTTAGCAGCTGTCGTCCGTACTTTGAGTTCACATAATTGACTCATTTTTAAGTGAATTTCAACAAGTTCCTAATTAAAAGCCACGACCTTCCACACTACAAACACGCTAGGATGAACACAAACTAACTACTACGAGGTCGTGCTGGAGGCGAAAATAAAGACATCAAGCTCAAAAACATGTATTCGGCAACAGAGCAGTGCACTCATGCATGTGTTGTGCAAATTGGGTGATGAAAGCCACTGGTGGGGCAAATATTTACCAAGCGAGTGCAACACTCACATGTTATATTTACGGCATACGAGCACATTGCTATATTGGTACGCATCAATTGGTTCCTAAGTCTATTTCATTTTCAACTACCGGAAAAAGCACATGGTCAAAAAGCTCTGGACTGTTGTAACAACGTCATGTGTTGTTGAAACAATCAAACAAAAGGCAAACAGCACATGATAGACTGTGTCACAGCTGTAAGGGCGTGCTCTCATCGTACGCGCAGTGATGTTCATATCGTCTCGAGCGTTGTTCTTCTTTTCACTCAAGACAAATACAAAACACGGCAAGGCATATTGCTAGCTGTTCTGTTGGGCTCTACAGGGAGGGGCTGCATGCTCCAGCTACTGAAGTTCTCGGCACTGTGGGTTCTACGTCATGGCAGACAGGCACAGTTGGCACACACATGCACATCAGTCCTGGATGCTGTGAGGTGCAGTGGTAGCAGTGACGTCAAACCACACTGGTGACGTGCCGCTGGTCTGTCTTTGATCAAAGGCACCGACACAATACCGTCCTGAGGAGCCTGATGGGCCAATGACTCCACCAGACTAGTCAGTGAGCTCAGCTGACTAGCTGGTGAGCCAGATGGTCCTCTGAGACAGCCAGGCAGCCAGTGATAAGTGAACTCACGTTCCAGCATGGTACAAAATAAGCTCAGGCAGCAGGAAGAGCTCTACTAACCCCACCCCAACTACTGCAGGAACCTCTGAGCTCTGACACACAGCGGCGAGCCTCGGCTCACCTGACCATCTGCGGAGGTACGCGCTCGTAGGTGGTGACCCGGCGCACGGCCGACCGCCGTGGCGCGTCCTCATCCTCCGAGCTGGAGTCGACGGTCCGCGCCGGGCTGACTCCGCGATCCGACTCCAGACTCGGTCCGCGGCCCGACTCCACGCTAGCGCCCCTCTCCGAGCCCAGACTGGAGCTGCGCTGTGACCCCAGGCTGGTGGTGCGGTCCGGGGGTCCGGTGCGGCGCTCCACGGCAGGACTGGCGCGGCCGGAGAGCGGGGGCGCCGACCGTGCGTCCGAGCCGGGGCTGGAGGGATCACCTGGGGAGAGAGGGAGAGAGAGAGAGAGAGAGAGAGAGAGAGAGAAAGAGAGAGAGAAAGAGAGAGAGAGAGAGAGAGAGAGAGAGAGAGAGAGAGAGAGAGAGAGAGAGAGAGAGAGAGAGAGAGAGAGAGAGAGAGAGAGAGAGAGAGAGAGAGAGAGAGAGAGAGAGAGAGAGAGAGAGAGAGAGAGATCAGTTCACGCGGCATTGATCACACCGTGCTGCCAGGTGAATACGCCAAAGAACATACCGAGAAACATGAGCTGGGAGCCGTAACAGTATTACCCACGTGGGAACGACCGCGGCACGTGCCGTTGGAACAGCCATGCGAGACATTACCCAACAGTCGGTCATTACGAGACCAATAGAGCGCTCAATGACACTCGGGACGGCCGGGTGGGGACCTGCGGCCGGCCCGTGTACCGGCCACACACTACTCACTCCGTGTTTACTGGCCCCGGTACTAACGGAGCCGGCAATCCACCGCAACTGGACGGCTATCAACACCACGGTGTATGAGCAAACGTCCGAACGTCGGTCGGAGCGAGGGCTGATGTTACAGCGCATCAGTCGGAACGAAAGCAAACGTTATATCACGTCAGTTGGAACAGAAACAGACATCAGGACATCATCCGGAACGACAACAAAGGTGAGCACATCAATCGTTTCTATCTCTACTTTTTATCCCTCCCTTATTTCCTTCATCCCGTTCTAATTCTCTCCAACCCTTTCATAAAATAATGTCATCTTTTTACTCTAACATCTCCAAAATCTATCTCCTACCGTAACCTAATTTCTTTTCCAATTCAGCGTCCTTGTTTCTCTCATCTGCCATCTTCCATTCAATTAGCCTTCATTATTCACTTTCCGCGTGTTTTATTCAGTACAAAGTTTCCAGTTACTCAAGAAGCTTTTCAGAGCTAGCGAAAAGTTAAGGAGCTGTTTCTTTAGAGAGTGGAAGTGGGAAATGACCAGTCACGAGAACAAAGAAGTACCGTCCGTTGCGCTGTTGGTGGCTGCTGAAATTCCTGCACGAAGATCAAGAAGGAGACGATCAAGGTGGGCAAGATCTTTTCCTTTACGATATGTCTCGTCATCTACATTTTAGTCATTCTTACGCATTTTTTGCCATTTTGCGTATATTGGATAACGTCTATTTCATCCTTGCGAAACATTGTATACCCAACGTAAATGTGGTAAACACAATTCCTGCGCGGCCACGCACAGGTAACGGGTGGCGGCAGTTTCTCCATTCCGGCTACTTTGGGCGGTGTTTGTTCTCCGGGATACCTGACCTCATCGTCAGCTGCCGTCGGGCTCAGCTGCAGTTCCGTTCCTCCCTCCCTCTCTCCCTCTCTCCTCTGTCCGCCGACAAGCCGCCGTGTGCCGCAGAGTGGGCGTGTTTTGTTGTCGGCACCTCCCCGGAGAGCGGCACAATCGAGGTCGACGGAGCGGCGCCATCGAGCCCGACGGAGCAGCTCCACTCGCTCCGATGGAGTATCTGTCCTACCAGCCGGACCAGCCGCCGCCGCCGTGTCTGAAACCTGAGTCGGTGCAGCTGTCTGACCCCGACACGGGACGGCTGCTGGTGGCACCCGAGTCGGAGCGGCCCGAGCCCAACTGTCCGCTGCAGATCACTGAGAACACTCCGACCGGCGACCGCTACCAGGGACAGGTCAGATGGGAAACAGGGACAGGTCAGATGGGCAACAGGGACAGGTTAGAGGGAGGTCACCGCTACAAGGGACAAGTTAGATGGACTGAGCAGAGGCGTAGGGCAGGTCAGATGAGGGGTTCACCACCACCAGGGGCAGATCATCAGAGGGACACTGTTACCAGGGACAGGTCAGAGCGAGGTCACCACTACCAGGGAAAGGTCAGAGAGGCTACCACGCCAATACTACAATGTCCGATAATGGGGGCAATTTTTCGGGGTTAACGGGTGCCGATGCCCACAGCGTTTCGTTGCATGTGTGACGGCTATCAACTGCAGCACTCATTTTGTCGGTACATTGAAAGCCGTTTTATTGACTGTAATACGAGGTGCCAGTGGGCGTGCTGGCTCGATACGGGTGGGTACTTGAAAATTTATGGAGCTTAGCGGACGATCGGGGACGACAATGTGACAAAAGTATGGCTAGTTAAGCATACAATTTTTTGAACCCAAAGCATTTTCTTTCAAATATGTACTCTCTGCTGTTGAATATTTAGCTTGTGTACTGTTTTCCACTCTATGATCCTGTGGGAGAAACATTGTAATTGAATTCACCCTTATCTTCTCCGAGCAAACAACGTTGAACTCACTTCCAGGAAACGTAAACACCCTCGAGGGTCTCAAGGCTTTCATAAGCAAATGACGTGAAGCGATAAACCGAATGATAACATTCTAGCTATCCTCCCATGAATAAAGCGGCATGTCGTTTTAGCTGCGGTATATACTCGCGGTCAGCACTACTTTATCGCCACCGCAGGCGCCCGGTCGATTTCTCGCTAATAATCCGTCTGCCATGCGGCTGAGCTGTGACCTCCGCAGCAGTCTGCAGTCCATATGGGAGACAGAATCGACCGACCCATCCGGACGTGATGGAACACTAACAGCCCCACTTATCCGGCCCCGGAGACCGAAACGACCCACTCCTGAGTGTAGAGAGATCAATGCCATCGACACTTTGCCTGAGAAACGCAGAAACTTCCTCATTTTCCGAGAGAGCGGTAGAGGCGACTCATTTCTGATGAAAAGTGCACCGCTAAGTAGCCATGGCTTCAACTATGAGGGTAACTTTAGATTACTGTACCTTTCCAGTTATTACTGTAAAGGTACAGCAACCCCTTCCTCTGCTGTGTTCAAACCCAGCTCTTGCCGCGGCTCAACTCTCCCTTCTTCTCCGCGACAGGTGCTCGGCTGGCGATGGGAAGGTCTCGGCAGCCTGACGCTGCCCTCGGGGGTCCGCTATGAGGGCCAGTTTCGGGACGGCCGGTTCCACGGTACGGGAACGCTGCACTTCCCCTCTGGCAGCCAGTACGAGGGACAATGGGACCGCGGCGTCTGCACCACCGGTCTGTACACGTTCGCCGACGGTCTGAGCTTCTCCGACCAGAACTGGAAGTACTGCCAGTACCCGGACCGGCGCTACTGGTCCGAGATCCAGTTCGGCATTCGGCCCGCCGGCCGCTCCCAGCTCACTGACCGCGACGACGACCACCCGGCCGTTGACGTGCCAGCGGGCATGTTTGACGCCGGGGACGGCGTGTACGATCCCAAGTGTCGCACCGTGTACGACTACGGCGATCGGCGCAAGATCAAGCGCGTCGTGACTGACGACGACCACCAGTGGATCATGTCCCGCTGCCGGCGCGGTGGAGATACGTTCATGGGTCGCCGTGAGGAGCTTCACCAGGACCTGGCACCTCTGGTGTTCCACGGAGGACACTCCAAGGAGTCCCCGGAGCTGCCAGAGGAGCTCCGGTTGGAGGATTTGATCGGGGAGCCGGAGCGGCCGCAGCCTCCGTCTGAACTCGCTCCACCGCCGTTCGATGTCAGAGAGCGGAGCGCGGACGTGGTACGAGAGGTGCTCCGCTCCGCTCAGCGGGTGGCCACGTCAGTCAGGTCCATCGTGTCCAGCGCGGCCGGGCGCGTGACGACCGCCGAGGAGGAGGCCCGTCAGCTGGTGAGGGACGCGGAGAAGAGAGCCGACTCGACGAGCTCCACCATCAGCTCTCTGATGGACGAGGCGCGCCGCCGACTGGGCAGTCAGTCCAGCTCTGCCGGCAGCGGCTCCAGCACCGGCACCGGCACCGGCTCCGACTGGAGCACCACAGCCAGCAGTGACGAGCTCACGGCGCCGCCGGACGGGCCGCGGCGCCGGCGAGTGGCGCACGCCGCCCTCACCGACAGCAGCAGCGGCGAGTCGATGACTGCGGACCGCTCGGCAGGTCGCCGGACGGCCAGCGGCCCGGACCGGCGGACCAGCGGCGGGCCGGACCGACGGACCAGCAGCGGACTGTCCGTGGGACGGGCCGGCAGCGGGGCGTCCGCCGGTCCGAGCAGCAGCACGGGCGACGGCAGCGGCGGTCACCACAGTGCCTAGTGCTGCATGGCCCCCACAATACAGCGAGCGAAAGGTCGAAGGCGCTATAGCTTGCAGCTGAAGTCTTTGGCACGGAGCGTATGCATTGCATGACAGTAGGTAATTATAATGGTGTAAATCGACGCTATTGTGAATATCATTGTCAAATGTAGACAGGTGTATAGGCCAGTACATTGTCAATTCTATTTTATTGCCGACCGAACACGTACTGGCAGCCAGGAAGTGAATTTCAGTTCCTGGAGACTACCCAGTCGCCAGGGAATACAGCCGACCTGCAGAACGTGTATAAATCCTCACCCATCCAGAGATTCGTAGAAACGTGAATCTAATTCCAGCGGGACTGAACCTGCCTGAACCGGGAGGCGCAGTGCTCAGCTGTCAGATACCTAAGTCGGACAGGTCAATATTGGAGCGGCGCCATGCATCAGGGTTTGAAATTAAACTCCAAGATAAATCAGCATCAGCAAGAGCCCATGTCGGACGTAAGACAGGTGGATGTGTCAGGCTACAGCAGCATGAAATTCGGCCGTAACACATGGTCAATTTCATCACAGGCCATCATTCGTTTCGAGGTGGAGACGCCGCGCTATGAGGCAAACACAGTGGAAATTGCATTGGTTCTGGGTAAGGTATTCCCGGCAATAAACTACGGCCCGTGACAGGGGTTGATAGATGGCTGGCGCAGCGGTGAGCAGCTGCGACCACCGGCTGTGGGCAGCGCGTGCAGCTGGCCCGGTTCAACCGGTGGCACAGGACCGACCTCGCTGACATTTATAACGATATACGGCGGATGCATGTCTCAGGCAGATCAGCGCTATACATACAATAAACGCAAACGCGGTGTCAGCAACGGCTCGAGCCGTTGACGAATAGCGCTTTGAACGCTTCAATGTTAGTGGATTGAACCTGCACTCACGCTATTTGTTGATGTCAGAAGACGCTGTTACTGAGTAAATATGGCTCCACTAGCTGTACGGTATCATTTATTCAACAATGCATTAGAAGCGCCGGAGAGGTAGCGTTAGTAATAAATCAACATTGCTCCCAATTGTTTCGAGCCTATCCATTAGTCCTGCTGCTCAAGCGGATGTAAACAGGTTTATGGTAGTTGGCTATACAGGCCATCGACTGCTATCGGCGCCAGTCGTATTGGGTGAGCGAGACGCTCGATGGGTGCTCGACTGTAATGGGCTGTTTTACAGGCTCTACCTGTACGAAGAGTCAGTGGATCCACTCGCCAACTGATACTTCCTGTCAGGCTAGGCCCGTAAACACAAACTGTTATTACGGAGCGAGCGAAGCGAGCGGAGTCTTTCCTTAGATTAACGGAAATTTCTGAGTATGAGCGGCCGGCCGGCCGGCCGGCCGGCCGGCCGTGGTCACGCTTTTGCGAGGCTTATATCTCAGCAACCACTTGACCGATTTACACCCGGTAATTTTTGTAGGGTAGCTTCATTCCTTCTACCAAGTATTGGACTATTCCTGATGCATGTGGGTGACCCCTTATGCACGTGCCACGTGCAAAACGAAGAGGTGTCCGTTTTGTAATTGTTGCAATATCTCGGTAACTACTTGGCCGATTGCGCTGAAAGTTGGCATGTAGGTAGGCACCCACTAGGCACTACATATCCATGTGCCAGAGTTGGGGTGCTGCTGCGCGTGCGCACGTGCAGGGGTCGTTTCCAGATCTCGAGAACGGCTCGACCGATTGCGCTCAAATTTGGTACACAGTTAGGGACCGGTTAGTAGGGTGCCGTGCACAAGTCAGTTGGGACCCATTTTGCACGTGCGCACGTGCAGGGTGCCGCTTCCAGATCTCGAGAACGGCTGGGCCGATAGTAGGGTGCCGTGCACAAGTTAGTTGGAGGTACCCCCTCGCAATTTCGCACGTGCAAGGCCCACCCTCTCGCTCGCTCCGTTAGTCGCCCCAAAAGGCGTTATACTGGTGCAAGTTCCAGGCTGTTTGCCCATTAATTACCCCACCAACCTGTCCAAAAAAAACCCGCTGTTATGAGACGGACCGCTTTTCAAATATTACCTGCCACCACACGGCAAACCCTACCTCCTAATCCCACAGCCGGCGGACGCTCGGTTCCCAATCCTCCCAAACCCTCCGTCACCGGACGCCCCGTCCCCGACGCGGCCGGCGCCTGTATGTCGCCCGGCGTGACTCAGCCCAGCCGTGCGGTCTCGGCTAATTACTGTTGACACGGCAGTGGTCCCGGTCCCCGGAGCCTCCCCGTCACTCACCGTTAGCGCTATTCTGCACGTGTTTGGCCCAGCTGTAGCGGGCCGAGCGGGTGGAGCCGGACGGTGAGCCGGGGTTCTCGGCCGAGGCGGCGCGCCGCCGCGAACCCGCTCCATTCGCCAGCGGCGGCCGCTTCGGGTCGGGCATCACGTAACGAGGCATTCCTTTGAAGAACCAGGCGCCGGACTTTTTCCACACCTCCCTTGTCTCGGCGCAGATTTTACAGAGCAGCCACTGCTCGCCGGCGGTGGAGGATGTGTCCACCACGCATTTGTGGCATACCGCCTGTCGGATACAGAGACACAGGTCAGTCCAGGTCAGGTCGGATACAGGTCAGTCCGTCAGGCGAGGCCCGTGGGTCACCACCGCGAGTTGTTTGGTAATCAGTCAGTATATTAGCGTGATAGATCATAATTGGTCAAGGCAGGTGACATGGAAAATGGTAGGGGCAGACCGTGACAAATAAGGAAAAGACAACACCGCGAATGCAACCGAAAGGAGCAGCGGTATTTGAGAACATGGCGTTGAGCGTGAAAGAGAATATTGCGGTTTAGCGGCGTAGACGAGGACACAGCAGATGGATCTGTGACATTCCGAATTAGGATAACAAATTGAAATTAGGCAACAATACAGCGTTCAACCGTAACTTACAAAACTTATGAAGTTACAGCGACACGGAGAGAAGGAGTGGCATGTAGGGTGTCAAAACTAGTTCTGTGTTGGCCTATCCTGGCGATAAACTCATTACCACCTGCTATCTTGACCTGTTTCCCTCCAAACAGTCCTGATGGACTCACTAGTTTGGATGGGATTAACGCCACACACGAAATCCGCCGATCGCCGATCACGCAACCGGCCAATGATGATGGTAATGTGTTGGTCATGAGTACAAACAGCCGCTGTCCCTATATCGGCAGAGTCCCCCCCCGCCCCCCTGGTGACTGTCAACTCTCCCACTGATGGCTGTCATCCCCTCCCCCCTACCCACCCTACCAAGGTGACAGGTCAGCTCCTCCATCCACCGAGCTCGCTGTCAGACAGAGCTCATCGGCTCTACAATAGACGACCTTCGCAGATCCAATAACCTTTCCAAGGAATGAGTTGGAATTCGAACAGAGCCACCCGGTGACCAGCCTGGCTCCTGGGTTCGTCCAGCCGCCCCCGCGCCGCTGGACCGTAACGTACCTTATGGCAGTCCTTGCACTTGAGCTTGGAGCTGGCGAGCAGGCCGAACTTTTCGCCGCAGAGGACGCAGGTGCTGGCGCCGTTACCGACTGCGTGTCGCCGCATGTTGTCCAGCCGCTCCACCAGTTTTCTGCGGCACAATCAGCGGTGTAGCACGTCAGACGGCCAACGTCACCTGACGTCACACGGTGGTCATAGATATCACAATCATACAGCATCACAAATATATCGGCTCCTAGCAAAACAGGGTGAACGGAGACAAATAAGGATGCTTGAAAATATGGGCCACTTCTTCAAAACACATTAGGATTCAGATATTCTTTGCACCGTGCCTAGATACTCTCACGAGGCAGATCTTGCCGACATGGTTATCGTGCTAAGAAAATAACAGGCATTTCCTAAGTTGTATTCCCCGAAAAGTTCCATTCGCATACAATCAGTTTTTATCGTAATATATATTGTATCCAGGTGCGTACCCATTCCAGATGGCCTAGAAGGAAGCAATCCACCGGCATGGTACTTGCGACAGGAAGCCAATTTGAGAAGGGCGCTACGTCTTCAATAAATATTTCTCATAATGAGACAATAGACGTTTACGCGACGGGCTATCTAGCGAATGCATCTTATTTGACCAAAGCTGCACTAAATCTCTTTTACTGGAAATATCTTCATATCGTGGATTTATTTCAGTATTTTTATCGAAAATAAAGTATCATATTGAAAAATAAGGTATATAAGCATCTGTGCAACCCTAACTGATAACTTTTAGGAAACACACCGAACCTAATTTGACCAAATCTGCACTAAATCTGCACCCGATCTGCACCAAATGTGTTCCAGATGGCTGTCGTGAAAACGACTAATATTAGCCGTTTTCACGGCGGGCTACCTGGCGAATGCACCTAATTTGACCAAAACTGCACAAAATCTCTTTTATAATAAATATCCTCGTATCATGAATTTATTTCATTGTTTTAATCGAAAATAACGTCTGATAATTTGAAAAAAACATGAGGTATATAAGCATCTGTGCAGCCCAAACTGATAACTTTTAACAACACACTGAACTTAAATTGACGAAAACTGCACCAAATCTGCACCTAATCTGCACCAAATGTGCACCAGATGGCCGTCGTGAAAAGTAAAAACGGCTATTGCCTTCAGAAGCACCTGACGATGGGACGCGAACATACAAATAAACGAGCGGATGAAATTGACCCCATGGTAGTATTCTTCCTTTTAGCTTCTTGACCTACCACTAGGCATTCGAGTCGTGGAAATCGTGTCAGGAAAGCTTGATATTGTACTGAATAAAGAAAGGCTCTGTTGCAAGCGTTTGCAAGTAAGCAGGCTTTGTTGCAGTTTTAGAGGAAGTCGCCACAAAGAGCTTAGACTTGCAAAGATATGCAAGGTGCAAACAAGTTTTAATAATTGAGAGGAGCTGGGTCTGCTGAGGAGGCCGCCCGAGACGTAGTTCCGTGCCTGTTCCGGGTCTGCTGAGGAAGCCGCCCGCGGCGCAGTTCCGTGACTGTTCCGGTGTGGTGTGCAGGAGAGAGGCAGCGCCGGCCTTTAGCTCATATGTATGCTAGAGGTACGCCGCGTTTCGTGCTGCAGAATTAAAAAGACCAGACATTATTTTACAGTGTATGCTTTAGCAAATCTCTTCCCCACGGTAACCGCATTTGATCTGAAACCTTATCTCGTCTGAATTCGGTCTCATAGGTACAATCACTTAGATACAGCTTCCACTCAGCAAAGCTGGTAACAAAAGAGAGCTGAAGGAGTTCGTCCTTTCGTTGTTGCAGCGCTTGATGCAAATCCTTTCCGCATATCGTACCGCCCCTGACCCAGATATCAGTTGCACAGCTGAATCGATCGCGCTGAGGCTTGACATAGGTGCTAGAGTACCGTCAAGGGTAATTACATAAGTAGGTAGTCGATGCAGGCAAAAGTATAGGTGTCAATTCATCATTTGCATGTAGGAGTGAAGAAAAACCCAACAATAATCGATGTACGAAGTTAATTGTCTGACTTAAGTAACAAACACTTTATTTTATGCAACCGAATGTTGAGAAGCTGATGTTGAGAAGGTTGCGTCTGCGTTGAATCGTTTGCATTACTCGTAAGCATGCATGACACTATCCTTTCATCGAATTACCCTCAATTGCACGCATAGAAACAAGAAATTGTCGGTGGAAGAGTAGTCCAACGTCGGTCTAAGCCAAGGTCCTCCAAGTCAAAGCTCCTCTCCCGGTCCTTGACCTGGCATTATTGTATTTCATCTCGTCCCTTCCCCACCAAACATAAGGCATGATCCGATTCGTCTCGGCAAGAGCAGTGCTTTCCAGGCCGCGCCCCACTGGTAGGTAATAGAGTCCCGCCGCCCCAGCGCGCTTGACCCTGCACTGATGGGGTGCTCAGAGTGGAACGGGCTGAGCCGGGGGTCAGACGAGGTGGCCGGGAGGGTCCCGCTCAGATGAGCCGGCGCTGTTTGGTCGGCAAACAGCCGCCGCTGACGACACTGCCGCCGCGGCCGGAGCGCGTGCTCAGAGAGATAACGGCTCTGCGGACGGGCCGGTACGGACCGTGGGCTGCCGTCCGCCGGACGTGAAGGCGTCTGTGGGGTGATGGAGGCTAGTTGGTGTTGTGCTGGTGGTTGTTAGAGTGGTGACTGATGACAGTAGTGACGGTGGAGACTTTGTGCAGATGATTCAAGATACTGACGGTGGTGGAGCTAATAGTGAAGTCATAAAAACGCCGCCGATGAAGACATTGGAATCGGTGAAAGGAAAGAGGTGTTGATCAAAAGCAATAAAAAACCAGCGACAGATGAAGCCACGACAACGACCGTCCGACGCGGCAGCTTCTGGTGCAGTGCAGTGTTCGGGAGCCGTCAGAGCTCAGGGTCACCAGCTCATGGTGCCACGGTTCATTATTAGCGCCACGTCCCACAGGATCCATAGTCGACCAAGTGCTACGAGCTTTCAGCGGACGTCATGCGGTATTCAGATGAGTGGCTGTATCTATAACCGAGGCGTGGCAGTTCACATACCGCCCTCCATTTGAATAACTGAATACTGATGTGCAGTGAACTTCCCGCAACCAAATCCCTACAATTACCCACTGGACACTATCGCCTGCATGGTGAAATATTTCGGGCCGGCTCTGGGGTGGCGACTCTCTCGATACTCACCCAACCCTCATCTGTTCCTTTTTCTCGAACGACTCTGCCTTTTGAATGACGTTGACGATGACGTGCTGCTCGCGCTCGTTGAGCGGTGCCGGCTTCCGGTATTGCTGTAGGCTGCTGGTCTTGACCGACCAGCCCGACTTCAGTCTGCGAGAACAAACAGACAAACGTCAAAATGTGGAACACTGGTCCCAAAAGGAATGCACGGCGCGCATGGGGAGGGCCACTGGTCAGTACCTATCGCAGTATTACATTATGTTGTAATTAGCGAGAGTAAGGGACTGTGGTACGTGCAGCTCATCCATTACGAATAAGAAGGTCTGGATTGATACAGATTTTATGTGGGCTGCTTTATAGACTACATCCTGACCAATTTTATTTCATGAGCTATACCAGCTAGACAATCATACGATTATCATCAATCACTGAGTTTCATCAACTTTCCGCTTACAGCTGACCATCGTCTGACCATCTGATGGCATGTCCATTGTCCATTGTCCATTGTCCATTGTCCATTGTCCAGTGTCCAGCTTTCAGCCATGCAGCGATCGGACCGTATCTTTCCTTTAGTCTTTTAGTGACTGTCTGAGTTCCGGGAGCCCCACATCGGTCACTGTCCCGGTCTCGGCTTAACCCACGGTCAGAGGCAGTTATAGGCTTACCACTGCCAGCCGGCAGCAAACGGCGGCATTAGTCTCCGCGATCGCTCACTCCGTGGGACATTAACGTCACCAACAAATGCCGACCCGAGATAGCTAATTGTCCGTTTAATGTAACTGAATAGCAGTTATTGTATGTGTTCAGAGGCTGACGTCAAACGCCGAGAACAATTCCTATTTTCTTGATTATTTTGGTCACTTATTTAGACATTTACGGGGATTGGTCAAACATCGTGCATCCATAAAACTGCATAATTCAGCACACACAATGTATGTATATAATGCACACAATTCAGCAAGTGTGCTCTTGCCAGCGGCAAGAGCATGAGACAGATGGACTCACCTTTGAGTAGTGGGACAAGAAGGCTCACATGCATGTTATTTTTCAATTATTGCTTCAATAACAAAACACGACACGCCGCATCGTGTGTTCTCAGATGGTTGTTAAAACTTCTCAGCACACTTAGAGGAACAACTACTTAACTATGCAGAAGTTATCTAGGTAAATATTCATGTCAGCTACTAGGTAAGGTAAAATGCATCCCTGAACCGCCAGTCAATTAATTTCATTTCCCCACCACCTTCATTAGACTGTCTTACCAGAAAGGCCGCGAATCGTGTACTCCATCATACGAGAGCTTATAAAACCCCGTCCAATCTCCAGCATCACAAAGGCAATCTAGAACGTGCCTGGAGTGAGGCGGCGCCCTCCATATTCCGCTGCCCTCCCGGCGCTAGAGAGGCCCGGTCATTTGTTCATAACGCGAGACCCATCGCTGCAGAAACGATACTGCGTTTCCGCTCGCGGAGCTCGGAATTTCAGCACCATATGGTGCAGAGCTCTCTTGGGAACTTGTGTCATGGCTCCAATAAAACGCGACAGGTTTGTTGCGGCTCCTGATAACTGAGATCAATCGATGTAGTCCATTTCCGGTGCATTGCATTGGATTTGTCATTTAGACGTGCTATAGAATAATAGCTAAATGTATTATGATTGCTATTATCTTTGATAGGCATATTCTATTGCACTTTAATTGTTTGTAAGGGCTGCATACTGCAAGGCGTTTACTGTAAAATGTGTTACCATAATTTTTTATTGTCATTTTCTCTTAGCATCTGTCATTATGGATATGTTACGTTAGGGTGCTATGAAAATAGACGCTATTTCTCTCATGTGACTGGTACACGCATCTCCGGAGTCCGTATCACGGTTATGGCGCTTCTCGGTCCTCTTCTGCACGTTACCATGGTAAAATGTCAGGATTGGAAACAAGGTGCTCCCCTGGACCAATCAAAAGATGAAGTGTGGTCGCTCGGTTCTGCAAAAGACCGGTCTTACATCGGCCGGTCTGTGAAAAATGGCGCAGACGGAGCTGAGATAAAGACAAGACGTTATGATGATTTTATGAAAGACGAGACGAGACGACGTCAGAGGATCATTGAGAGCCTAGACGAGACGCCAGATGATCGTTATAGTGCCACGCGACGAGACGTCAAACAGTCGCAGAAACACGAGATGAGGCCCAGTTAAGGTATAAAACCACCGGTAAAACATCAGACGGGTGCTGTCAATGTCACAGACGTCCATTGAAGTGTCAGCTGGCTCATGAAACGTGGCTGGTGGCTGGCGAGTGGCGACAGCATGCAACAGAGGCAGCTGCCGTACTGAGAGACGACGGATGGCTGCTGAGACGGCTAAACACTCACTGAGAGGTGTCGGATCGGTCGGTTTGCCAAGTCAGCTAAAGGCATCGGTTAACCAGTGAGAAATGTGTGGCAGACAACCGAAGGTGCGAGGGAGTCTACTAGATATTTGACGAACATCTGGCAGACGGCGGTCAAGGGATGTTTGACGGTAGGTGAGACCAAGGCCGTATAAGAGAGACTAGGAAATGTCTGACAATGGGCTTATAGCTCAGGAGGTGAGCGTCAAGAGATGTTCCACTTATATCGTCGCCAAAGTCACATCTGACGGACGGTGAGTTCACCACTGACGGACTCTAATCTGACGCACTCTGAGTCACGTTGGATCGACTCCTAATTGACACAGACTCTGAGACTCGTCTGACGGACTCTGAGTCCCGTCTGACGGACGCTCGGGGACTCTGTCGCCCTCCGCGCGACATCGGCCGGGCGTATCGACCGTCGGTGCCGGTGTCGCCCCGGCCCGATCTCCCGGCGGTGAGCAGCGACGACATTTCCGATGGACTCCGCGACCACCGTCGCCGCGATCACCCCCCCCCCCCCACCACCACCCCTCCCCCAGGGCAGAGAGGCTATCAGCGGGCACATCAGGACCTCATCTGGAACGCTGTCTCGGCAGATCTGTGGACTGTCAGCATAGTTCGACGCCTTTCAAATTATTCCCCACTTGTTAAAGAATGGCCGACTTTCCGGATTTGGAACGACGTTTCAGGATGCTTTACTGCGGATAGACTTTGAAGCTGATGCATGCCACAAAATTCATGTAATGCAATGTGCTGGTAACATAAGCTTGTTACAAGGTTTTTGAAATCCATTAACCCGCGACCGCCTGGGGGGGGGGTCGGATCCGACCCCCCTCTGTTTTTCTTGAATAACTCATGAACCACTTTCGCTATCTACTTGAAACTTGACATACCTTCTCCCCCATCAATTTGACGTCTCCTGTGCAATTTTTAAGAAAAAATTTCCAATTTTTTTTAGATATATCGATTTTAGTGATGTAACTACATGGCGTTTTTAGTCAAAAAGTGGTAAATGTTAAAAAAATCGCCAAAAATCAGGGTTTAAAGCAAATTGCAAATTAAGGACATGAGAAGACGCAGCTCAACAAGTTCTTTAAAATGGCTATCTCAGATTTTCCATAAAATGCTTTTTTCACCCCTAAAAATTCAAAAAACTATATTTTTTGGAAAATAGCTAATAAAATCCAAAATTTTGGGAATTTCCAAAAAACGGTATATATTGTAGAGCTCTATTAGAACATTAGATGCCCCAAATTTCAACTTTCTATCTTGATTTTTTACCCCCAAATTGTAAAAAATAGCTCCAACATGCATTGTTAGTATTTGTTACATCTTTACGGCCGCCGGGCCGTCCGGCTGGCCGCCGCTGCTGCAGCGAGCAGCGCTGCGGCGCAGTCTACCCGGCGGGCGCTCGGCCGCGCCGCGCGGCGCAGTCGCTGATTGGTGACCCGTGGATCACGTGACTGGCGGTGATGTGGGGCCGGTGCCGCGGCGGCAGCGCACTCTCGCAGGAGATTCGGGCGGAACCGGAGCGTTGTCCATGTGGTGTGGCTCTCGGAGTCGGACTGATGTGCCGGCTTTGTCAGCTCGCTCCGTGGTGACGTGTTCGGCGTAATTTGTTGCACGCTGTTGAGAATGGGACTGCTGTCCTGTTTGAAGCCCACCAACTAAATTGCGCCGAACAGCCAAAATCTTAAGAGGTGGGACTGCAGTCCTACCTCTAACATGATCCTCTTTTGGCTACCGGAATTTAATTTACATGTTTGCGGCAATTAACTCGTACCCATGGCCTCACCGTGGTTTCAAGGAGGCAATTTACGGGTAGCGACTGCGCTCATGTTGCATTCGAGTCACGTTGTAATATCAAGTCATTGCATTGCACAGTTTTGTTTGTCTGTTTGATTGACTTATCGTGGCAATAAGACGTGAGGAGCCAAATCCACAGTCTTTTGGTTAGATTTGATTTGGACAAAGGCCAGAGGCGAGAGGGGAATCGAACAGTCGGGCTGAGTTCCTGACATAAGTCCACCGGGGCCGGATCGTCTTTTCTTTCGTTGGGACTTCCGTCTTGGCGATTGGACTGGCTTTGTTGGGACTTCTGTCCTGGCGATTGGGCTGGCCTTCGTTGGGACTACCGTCTTGGCGATTGGACTGACTTTCGATTCCTACTTTGCTGTAATTCTCCTCTCGTGAAATTGAGGTTTTTCCGCTCGATCGGATTGATGTCCGGTTAGATGGTTTTGCTATAATTTGTTTAACATACAGTCCACTTGGTACTTGAATTTAAGTTGAATTTTGAAGCCTGTCTTATCATGGATGAACTTTTGAGTACGAGAACAAAACTTCGTTCAAAGGCCACGAAACTGTGCAATGAGCTTCGAATTTACCGAGAAGGTGATCGTAAAAACTTGGACCCAGACCTACTTGCCCTCAAGCTCCACCATGTTCAGAAGTTGCAGAGCGAGCTGCACAGCACACAGGCTGAGCTCGACAAGCTAGGGCAGGTAGATGATTCTGGTCACATGCAGACCATGGAGGATGAGGTGTTTCTTGGCTCTCGCCTCCTCACCCGCCTTGAAAGGGCTGAGGAAGCCAAGGAAAGGGCTGAGCCACCGACTGTGTCGGGAAACGCTGATTTTAAGTCTTCCATCTCCGTGAAAATTCCTACTTTTCACGGGGACATCATGAAATGGTCTGAGTTCTGGGAACTATTTGAAATCTCGGTCCACAACAATCCTGGCTTCGCGGATATCCAGAGATT